AATTGCTTGGTCTGAATCAGACGTATCACTTTCTTGTTTTCGTGTTGTCTGCGTCCTGCAATGGGCTTTCTTGAGGACGTCTCTGAACTCTGCGACTGCCATGGCATTCGCAGCCACAAGAAATTTAAAAAAATTAAGCAATTACAGGTATGCATTAGAAGTGCTTTTTGCATTGTCCGAGGTTCTCTATATGCTAAATGTTGTAGAAGTGCTTCCGAGTTTTTCACCTTTTTCTTTTTGTGTGAATAAATCAGACGGTGGAGATTAAGATCAAGATGGACTGTGAAGGGTGTGAGCGAAGAGTGAAGAAATCAGTGGAAGGCATGAAAGGGGTGACACAAGTGGAGGTGGAACCCAAGCAAAGCAAATTGACGGTGATTGGGTACGTGGAACCCGACAAGGTGCTGGAACGCGTAAGACATCGGACAGGAAAGAAGGCGGAGTTCTGGCCTTATGTACCGTATGATGTAGTACCTCACCCGTACGCGCCAGGCGCGTATGATAAGAAGGCACCACCTGGATACGTGCGAAACGTGCTGGAGGACCCCGAAGCCTCTGCTCTCGCACGTGCCAGCTCTTTCGAAGTCAAGTACACCACTGCGTTTAGTGACGAGAACCCTACTGCTTGTGTAGTCATGTAAATTAAATTAGAAATTAGTTAAGATTCTTTATGTTGTACATTCTGTAATTGAGGTTAAATGGTTTCTGTTTTTGTACTGAAGTGAAAAGATGTATTGGCGCCGTATTGCCAAGTACTATATTTGTTCTGGTCTTCAAGGGGACGTTACAGCACATTTGCAGAACCTTATTCTCATCTTGTGATCTGAGGCATTGAGCTTCGAGTCCTTCGTCTTTCAAAGTTCATGACAATCTATGAATCAATCAACATCAAAATTGAACAGGAAATTGCATGTGATCTCAGAAAATGTTAGCATCTCAGATCATCGATCCGACCGTCGGGATCATATATATACCCACCAAGTATAGTGTTTATTAAGGTTTTTTCACCTATTAGATCAGTCTTTTGGATTTGATTCATACACTCTTAAGTATAACATTTAAGCTTAAGGGTTTTTTCACTGAGTTAATGATTTTTTTTCATCTAAATAATGGTTTAATGATAATTTTTTATCTATAAGTTTTTAAAATATTATTTTGTTATCATAATTTATATTTTGACAATAAATAGAGAGTAAATTTGTGGTTCAGGTTATTGAGGTTATTGAAAAGAGGAGGTTGATGAGTCTTTTAGCAGTGGAAGGGTGGATTTTGGTGATTGAGATTGAGATTAGTTGGAATTTAACTTAGTAGAGATAGTTACACAAACCCTAATTACTTGATTGTTGGCGATTAGCAGAGTTGATCGGAGTAAGGTTTGAGAGGCTTTAGTGTGTGATGATTGGAAAAGAGAATGGTAGTGATATGAGGTTACAACGATGTTGGAATAAAAAACAAAATATAAATTTAGATAATAAAATAATATTTTAAAAGTCTATAAGTGAAAATTGTCATTAAACCATTATTTGAATAGAAAAAAGTCATTTACTTGTTTTTTACTTATCAAATCAGTCTTTTGAATTAGGCTCTCCTGTGGGATTATTTAATCTTATTCTTATTTTTAAGTAGAGGAAAATTGCAAGTTTTTTGGGCTTATGGCTTAGGTCATTTTTACTGATATTTATCAAATTGAATATGGTAAAAGTTTCTTAATCTAAATTGCATTTATCCTTTTGATGTTTCTTTTTGGGTATACAATAAGATAAACATAATAAGATGGTTAGTAAGATTGCGAGTAAACATAGTATTATTCTAAGATAAAATCTAGTAGTTGTTGCAATTTGGAATCATTTCAGCATTGTATTGGGGTCAACTAAATAGGGAATACGGAAGACGTAAATGAATACGTAATACAAGAATGACACCACTCCCATTTCCAAACAGATCCCTCAGATAATTCTTATGAGGGAATGGAAATCTTCCATGTGTCCTGCATTCAGAGATATCCTTGTTTCCAAATATGCGGACATCTTTGTTCATATAAGCAATGTTTTAAAACCCAACCTGGGGTGCAACCCGACAAAGTCTTCGAGTCCCGGGTTGACCCGTTTAACCAGTTTGACCGCTGGTTAAACCGGTTGACAATAAATTTTAAAATTCAGCAAATACACCCCTAAAAATTACCTATAAGTCCCTATATGTTTGAACTTTATCAAACACATCCTAAATGCAAATCGACCGGCGATCGATTGACGGCGGCGACACCCTAGATGCAACCCAATCGTCCCCTGAGCCCATTTTCACTAAAACCTACCCAAGATCTGGCCGAAATAAGTTCGATTTCGGCCAGATCTCACCGACGCCAGCGTGGGTATTCCAGGCCAGATCTCATCCAAGCCGGCGTTGACAACCCTCCCCATCACTCAGGAATCACTTCCCACCTTCTCCCGACCAAGACCCACCTCACCCCACCCCCGTTAGCCTCTCCAATCGCCGGCGAAATCCCATCGTTGCCCCTGCCAGATTTGTTCAATTTCCGGTCGATTTACTCACCGGAAATCAACGATGTCACCACCATTACATTCAACGGCGCTTATCTTCAAAAGCCCTAAGGTTCCGACCGTCAATTACTCGCCGATCATCCACCCAAATCCTAGGGTTTTGGGTGAATAGGAAAAGTAGAAACCCGGCCCGTTGAAGCTTTTGGGTCCCGGTTGAACCGGTTCAACCGGCCGGGCTGGGTCGGGTTTTAAAACAATGCATATAAGTAATCCTCTCTGCCCATTTTTTTTATTATGCTTTTGGTTTTCTCTAGATAAAATTCAAGATCCCCTTTAGCCCTGGTTTACGCGTCTCGTCTTCTCAAACCTTAACCCTAGAACCCCTACCCCTTATCTTGATCTAAACAAGATTTTGGCTGGAAAATTGCATGCGTCTTTACTAAAACCCTAGATAAAGTCTCTTGGCCGGTTAATTTTAGCTTTAAGTTAGGTTTGTTTACTTTCTTTTGACAAATCTTCATTTCTTTCACACGAAATTACGCTTTGTCCGGTTGAACGATGTCTCATTGCTTCCCGTACCTCCACCGGGATATGTGAAGAATGGTATTCGCGATGAGGCTCTGATCGAATCGATCAAGGTTTGTTTGTTGAGCATTCATGGCTTCATTGCAATCGACTGACTTGACTACTCGATGTGTTCGGTTCCAATCGTCTGATTATGATGATTTGTGTATACTTGAGTAAATATTGTGTTAGGGATTGTATAAATTATACCTCAAATTAACAATTAAAAGAAAAAAATTGTATATATACTTTTTAATCCAAACACTTGCTACCAAAAGTCTATCTTTATCAACTCTTGGGCTGAATTTGGGGAAGTGTTTGTTCTTTTAGGGTGATTAAGATTTTGACACTGAATTGCCAGTATTTCTAGTCTAGTGTCTTTTCACTTGCATGTCACTACTCGATGAAAAAAAAACATCTAGTGTCTTCTCATCTGTCTATCACTACCCAATGAAGAAGTACATCTAGTGTTCTCTCATCTGCTTGTCACTACCCAATGAAGAAAAAAATATGTTGGTGCATTGCTCCTCTTATCATCAATAATTATATAACCATGTAACCTTCAATTAATAGAGCTGGAACATTAATGTTTTTCATGACCCATTTTAGTTGCCAAACTTCCTTCTGCCCAATTGTACCTGAATTAAATGACTTCGTTTTTATGCGTTTGAATATTAATTTGCAATTGATGTTGTAACGTTAGGTTCTTGTAAGTAAAGTTGCCCTGAATAACCATTAAGAGCACCAACAAACAATCAATTATCAATTATCAATCTTGAGGTTGATGTTAGCTTATTCTGAGTAGGGCACTTTCATGTTGTCATAAAGTCATGTGTACTGGAGAGGGGACTATGGAAGAGGAGCTCAAGAAAATTCATTACTAGTAATAGGTTTATAGACTTCATTTAGGTTGATTAAGATTCAGTATAAGCTTATGTGTTATATGTTTTGGTAATGGTTTGGATGCTTTAAGGCTATTTTATTTTGAGTTTGATTAGCTCTTGTTTGACGTGGTTTGGTTGCTGGAATTACATTTTTGTTAGTTATTCACTCTTATGTTTAGTCACTGGGAAGAAGGATATCACGTGTTTAGAATATGATTTACACATTGAATGTGATTCATCTTGATATTATCTTGGTGGTGAAATGGTAGACACGTGAGATCAAAAGTCTTGTGCTTAAGAGCGTGGAGGTTCAAGTCCTCTTCAAGGCATTATAAGTTTTTATCTTATTGGGTGAGGTTAGTAATTTATGTTTAACATACGGTCTATGTTTAAGTCACACTAGGTAGATTGGCTTATATATTTATGAATGAGAATTTTTAGCAGTGGATAATAGATAAGATTATGAACAAGGGCAAATTAACGCGGAGAAGCCAATTCCCTCTTCGTATTGCTAAGATACTTTCCAGTGGCTTTAAGAACAATGGAAAATAAACTGATGTGGAATTAGTCAAATGCTGATTAGGCTAGTCTCGATGTCTTATTTTGGTTTTACCATAGTTTTTATATGAATTTAGTGGTGTTGCTAGGCCTGTTGCACATACTTCCTTTTTTTTTTTGGGGGGGGGGGCATGGTGGTTTGTTTTGGTTAAAAGTTAGATTCATTGTGTTCTTCTATTATGCTTGTTAATATATGAATTTTATTGTGATTACTAATTTTCACCCATTGGAATTTCCTCCCCAAGTAAATTATCGAGTGTGCCTGTAACTTTGTGCAACTCTTTCTACTTATTCCTAAAATTGTATCTTTGTTTAGGAAGGTATTTTTGTGGTATTTCTCTGATTATTTTTGGTTACATACCTTTTTGCATGCCTACTTGTACCCACTACATCTAAGTAAACAACTCTGCTGTAGTTCGGCATGCTCTCTTCTCTGTGAAACTGATGGTGTTTACTCTTTTTGTCTTTTCACACTTCTTTGTTCGTTCTCAAATTGATGGTTACTCTTGTGATTTGAAGCTCCAACGGGAGGGAGAGAAGGCCAAGAAGGAAAGGAAAGAAAGGAAGAAAGAGAAAAAATTGGAGAAAAAGAAAAGGAAAAGTTTCAGGGAAGTGGAGCGGTTGAAAGTAAGAAGCACCGACATAAGAAAAGGCACAAGGATGATAAGAACCAAGAAGATCAGAAAGGAGGAGGCCTTCAAAAGAAAGTAGAGAACGAACTTGAGAAGAGTAGGCTTACTGAAGAACATGGGCATCCGATTAGATCTCAGAACTCTTCTGACAGCACTCTTAGCAACACCAAAAGACAGAAGCTGAACTCACCCCTTGATGGTGAGAATAATTCTAGTGAGTGCCTATGTGTTTTTCCCTTTCGAGGGGAGGTTGTTCGCTTGTTGGGTTTGTTTGCTTCACATGGGCATTGATGTTTTTTCTTCAATTGTTATTATTAATATGAAGGAACTAGCATCCGGATCTGGTTGCCTCTCCAAAGGCAAAATGATCCAGAAGTGTTACCCAGCAGGGAACAGCCTTGCTCTGCCTCTGGGGGGATTGACGACGCCTGTACTCAAGTGATGCAGGAACATGCTCATAGAATAGGTTTGGAAGAGGGAGAACTTCCTTGTTCTACTTCCAAAGAGATGTGTTCAGAACTCATGTTAAGGCTAAACGAAGAAAAGCCTTGCCTCTCTATAAGAGTGTCTCAAAGTTCTGCTCAGATGGCTGAGATAGTTGTGCCATCAAGTTTGTGTGATCGCTGCTCCCCTCAGTTAGCATTAAAATGCAGAGATGTCATTAAGAATTGGGTTACACCTCCAACGGAACTTGACTGCACTTTTGATGATAAGGAATGGCTATTCAGGGCAAAGCAGGATCAGATATGTGGAGCCAAAATTGGTGAAGTGGGTAGTCTTGGTTTACCTCTTTGAAATTCAACTACTTTGCCACACGTTTGTTACTTGCCTGAGGCTGAATATATGCTTTACCATTCACCGTGCTCTACTGAAACCCTCTTATAAAAATGAACATAGGATCTAAAGTTGCATGTAAAGTTGTGATAAGGAATGGTTGTTCAGGACAAAGCAAGACCAGATATGTGGAGCCAAAATTAGTGAAGTGGGTAGTCTTGGTTTACCTCTTTCAAACTCAACTACTTTGCCACACATTTATTACTTGCCTAAGGCTGATATATATGCTTTACCATTCATCGTGCCCTATTGAAACCCTCTCATGAAAATAAACCCAAGAGCTAAAGTTGCCTGTAAAGTTGTGCATTGTTAATTATTCGCATTGTCGAACAATGTGAACAAAGTTTGCTATCAGGCATTCGGCCATGCTTGATGTGTGTTTGACTGTTGAGTGACTCAAGTTCCATTTGTTCGGTAAATGTTGTGCAAGAGGATAGTTATAGCCGGTTAAGGATTGACAAGTTGATTTTTTTTTTTTTTTTTTTTTTTGGTAGGTAGTGAAAATAGAAATGTACCATAGGACCAATTCTTCAAGTAATATAATCATCTAATCTTTCAGAATCTCATTCCATTTCGGTAGTGTATATATAACTAGTTTAATAGGAGACATTACTTCTTCGGGTGGTGAAGAGTTGTTGGCCTAGTTCTATTGATAATATACCTGAAATGTAGTGGAAGTTTTCTCCAGGGCATGGATGTGAAACTGGTAGGAGGTACATATGACGTGAGTAGAAAAAAAATGTGAATAACGCTTTGGATGATTCCATATTCAAAGATGTGTTGGTAAATCTTTGATGATTCCATCCTCGGACTCCTACTTAGATTGGCTCCGTAATTGGAGGATCCTTTCCTATCTGACTTTCGATCTTTGGATCTGAAATTAGTAAATTTATGATGAGTGAATAATCAATATAGATGTTACCACTTCGACAGTTTGACTGTTGCCTCTCTAGTTGTCAGCTATTCAATTTGAAAAGGGGGTAGAAAGTGTATAAGATAAAGGGGTGGCAGAGGAAGAGGATAGAAGTAAAGGAGGTAGTGGTTGGGTGTGTGACGGGGGTGGAATTTTAAACATGAGGGTGTGGGTTTATTTTGGGCGGGCTTTATATATTTTATGATTTTAATTTGTTTTTAATTTAATTTATTTAATGTAAAGAAAAGAAGTGGAACTCAAAAGAATGGGAGAACAACATTTTCCCACCCAAGGTTTGGCGAATTGACACTTTCCCACTCGTCAAGTTTTAAAATGACATTTTCCCACCCTCTGTTAGGTCTTGTTAGTGTTTTTTGTTTTGAAGAAGAGTAATGTAGTCAATTTATATCAAGCCACAAAAATAAAAACCAAGTCCCAATAAAGTTGACTTTAAAAAAAAAAAAAAAAAAAAAAAAAAAAGAGAACGCAAAATTGTCTACCTTTTCTCCACGTTCTCTCTCTCTCTCTCTCTCTCTCTCTTTGCTCTTTAAAACTGAAACTACTGCGACCTAGGTTCTATGTAACTCTCTACTCTTTAAGACTGAAGCGTTTTTTCTCATAACCCTTTCTTCTGCTCATCGTACCCGACGAGGATGCACATATTGGCTTTTTCTTCTTTTGTTTTTGTTTTAGGTAATCTTCATCTTTCATTTTTGTTTTAGGTTAAAATAAAATTGTTGCGTGTTTTTCGTTTTGTTCTTGTGTTATTTTACTAGATAACAATGTTGTGTTATTTTAATTTATATTAAATTGAAACATTTAAGTTTGTAATACCATTGGTTGAAAATTGTGATCATCTTCACCTTTCTTTCGTTTGAAGACTAATATATTACCTTCAAAGCTGTTCAAAGAGGTTTAGGGTCTGTTTGTTTTATTATTCCCTATCCTATTCCCAAAATACCTGTTTGTTTAATTATTTGGGAAAGACTATTATATTTTTTAATTATTTTTAGACCCCTTAAGTTTATTAATTTAATTAAACTCCCCTAAAAAAGAAGTTTAAAAATTAACACAAACACCCCATCCACCCATAGTTGCCAGATTCCGGCAACCACCTGTCACAACGGCGTAGAAACGATCGGAACTGGCCGGTAATTCACCGATCTGGCCTTTTTGGGTCAGATCCACAATGGATCTGGTCAGAAAAGGTCATATCTTTGGCCGTCACTGATGGCCAAATCTGACCTTTTACAGCCGTCGATGGCCAGATTTGGCATTTTTTGGCCGTATTCATGGTGGATTTGGTCGGAAAAGGCCATATCGATGCACGACCGGCCAAATCCAACTGGTCTGTGTCGTAACACCATTTTCTGGCTAGATTCCGGCGGTGATGGCCAGAATCTGACACTATGGGTGGGTGGGGGTGTTTTTGTCATTTTACAAAAAAATTATATGTTGGGGTGTTTAGCTAAATTAGCAAACCTAGGAGGTTTTTTTTTGTTAAATTTTAAATTTTACCTTGTAATACTCACCTTATTCAACTACCCAATATTATCCCCAAATCCATATCCAAAATAACAAACCAAACGGACCCTTAATTTCCTTGTCTTTCAAGACTTTAAATATATATACTCAAGGATTTATCTAGAACTAATGATTATTTGTTTAGAAATAGGATATTAGGATAATTTGGTGTGACCTGATTTGTGTTTGAGAAAGAGCTAAAAAGTGCGGAGTTGGTTTCTTGATGAAAAAAAGAGTGAAGGGATGTGAAGATTTTGGGGAAGTAGAGAAAGTGGACTATAGGTTATAGACCACATGAAATACACAACTATTTCAACCAATGTTTTAATTAAAGAAAATGGACATAATCATATATGGAAAATTACCTCCAGTTTTGCACAAACGAGATAAAGAAAATATAAAAGTAATTAACATATTTCAAGTCACATCTCATCAAGCTCTCTACTAGAGGTAGAAAAGTGGCCCAACCAATGGTGGGCCAGGGCAAATTGCAGGCCGGGTTAGGCCTGCCTCTTTTTCAAAAGGGCTAGCCCGACCCGACCCAATAACCTAACCCCACAGGTTTTTATGCAGGCAGGGCCAGGTCGGCCCACCAAAAAAATTAATTTTTAATTTTTAATGTTTTTGTCTTTTGTGTAATTTTTTTTTTAGTTAACTTTTCAAATATCAATTAAATTAAATTATTTTTTTTAGTTAATATCTCAAATATTAATTCAATTTTAATACAATTAAATTGTAATATAAGAAAAATTATATTTATTTATTTTTCAAAAAATAAAATAAGAAACAAGAAATTACAACAATTATTGTCTTGTTAAAAACCTTACAAAAAAAAAAAAAAAACCCAATTGGGACAAAAACTTGGTTAAGAAAAAAGAGTGCAATTATTGATAGTTAATTTACAAATTACAAAGTTACAATTTACAAAACAACTAATTTGAGGGTTGACTAGAACCTCCTTCATCTGTATCATCTAAATTATAACATTGAAATGATTTTATTAAAGTATCGTCAACAACCTCATATTGATATTGTTGGCGCGACCATTCTCAATCTCGAAGATATGTGAAGACTTCAATCTATTTTGGTGAAAGTTTAGTCCTTATTTCATTTAAAATTCTTCCACTTCCACTTGCACTAAATATTTGTTCGGATAAGACGGTTGAAACAGAGACAGAGAAAGCATCCATGACAAGTCTTGGTAGTACCGAAAAAATTCATTTTCTGGTTTTCCAATATTCTAAGACATCAAAAGTTGACTCTTTGTTGTGGATCTACTGGTAGCCAGTCAGGGGTTCCCAAATATTGGTGAAGCTTATTACTCTGCAGTTACATGGAGGACATTATATTCCTTGTTGATGCTTCTGAAGAAAAGGTTGTGGTTTGGGTTCGGGTCTTATTTTGCCTATTAATTGCACTCCATGAGTAGAAGTCTTCATTTGTGTCTTCTACTGGTACTTCCTCGAGTATTGCACCTTTTTGCTGGTTCTCATATCTGCTTTTATATTGCAAATATACCTCTCCAAGACACTGTCTTATCTCTCCTAGTTGATTGACATACGCTTCTTCTTGTAAATTTTCACTTAATGTGTCGAAACCATTTTCTAAACCCGTTAATTTAATCCTAGGATCAAATATAGCAGTTAAACTAAAAAGAAAATGAATGAGTTTCCAGTTTTTTTAAATTTAAATTCCATTGCTTCTATTGGTCATGCTAAAAATTCATTGTTTCTATTTCGAGCAAATAAATTTGAAATTTCTAAAATTATATGTATTATCAATGGACTAGTAAGATAATACACACCAGAAAGTTTTAAAGTGGCAACATAAAAAGTTTTAAGAAAAGATTAAAATTTTTGAGCTATATGCCAATCACTCTACCAAAAAATGAGGATCTCTCTTATTTGCTACAAAATAACTAATTAAATTTACATAAGGTAAACATGAATCAAGCATTAAATAAGTAATATCCACCCAAATAGCATGTCTAATGCAAAAGTTTTAGAAGACAAATTTGAAGTTCTACAAGCATTTTTAAATTCAAATTTTTTTTTTATTACTACTAGTAATCCAAGCTAAACAACCCTTAATTATATCAATATTATTTCTAATTCTTTTGATACCACTTTTTACAATTAAATTAATAATATGATATGCACAACGTTGATGGAAAAACTTATAATTATCATAAAAAAAAAAAAATTAGTTTAAAAAAATCTATAGCTCTACTGTTAACACTTAGATTATCTAAAGTTAGACTTATTGCTTTGTTAATCAAATCAAATTCTTCTAAAACTTCAACAATTTTAAAATAAATTTATTGACCACTATTATCTATATTTATTAATTTAAATCCTAATAAAGATTTATTTAATTTACATTCGTTATCAAAATAATGACCAGTAACGCAAATATAATCTTGTTTAGCTCTACCACTCCAAATATCGACTGTTAGAGCTACACTAACATGACAATTATGTATTTTATTTCTTAATTCTAATTTCATTTTGTTAAATAACTTTATTAAATCATTCCTAATTGCAGTTTTAGAATAGGTTTTAAATTATAGTAAAAATGAATTTTTAATAAATCTTTCAAAATATTTAACTTCAGCTATATTAATAGGTTGATCAGTTGCAATAATATATAAAGCTAATTGTTCCTTATACACATTAGAATTATGATGCCAAGTATTACTCATACTAATTATTTGAGTTTGATTGGTTTGTCTATATCTATGATGATTTATATGTTTATCTGCATGCCTTTTTAAAGTACTAGTAACATTACCTGCATAAACTTTATAAATATTTTCACAATACTTATATTTTACTTTCTTCACTTATAACTCTATTTTCTATCTCATAAAGCTTTATGAAATGCATCCAAATGTCTGATGTGTGTCTATTGTCGGTTCTGGTAGCTGCAGTTGATGAACCCACTTCTACTGCAAATGGAGTTGGATGAGGACGACGATTATGAGAACGACCTCTAGAACCATTGGGAGCTATAACAGCATGGAGAGGAAGAAAGGAAATATTATGAGGTGTATCAGATTTTGAGAATGGGAAAATGAGACTATTTGAATCTACACGTTTGTGTTAGTAAATTCATGGGGACTAGGATAATTTTCTTCATCATCTAAATTGATATTGGAATTATAGAAATATCTATCAATTCTAGTTATAAAAAAAAAAAAATTGGATATAAAAGAATTAAAGAAGGAGAATCAGAATTTGGAAATATGAATTGAAAATTGTAAAAAGTAAAAAAAATTAAAATGAGAGTAAATTGATAACCAAGATTTGAGAGATTTTTAGAGCACGAGCAATTGAAGAAAATGAGAGAATTTTGGATGTGAATAAATATAAGAAGTTTAGGCATTATTTATAAAGAAAAATTGGAAAAAAAATGAATAGACCTCTCTAACGACTATAAAACGATTATATTTAAATGGTAAAATTGATTTTGTAAAAATAGTTTTTTTTAAATTTTTTTGTCGCCAACCCACCGGGCTGCCCGTTAGCAGCCCAGGGCGAACCCCCCTGGTTGACTGTGGGCAGCCCAACAACCAACCCGTCAGGCCGGGTTAGGGCTGACCCGCCTATCCAAGCCCAATTTTTCCACCTCTAACTGGTTCAGAGCAAACCGCTGATATCTATTTGGGGTGCAGATTTAACGGTAGAGATCTAATCAGGACGTACAACCGAAGAGCACAGTATCACGCACTGCCTCCCGATCCAAAGACTTGACAAGCAGTTGAGGTTCACAGTTTCGTAGTAAGTCAAACGCAACCTCGTTAACAACTAACAAACGTTTTAGAGAGAGAAAGAGATACCGATGATGATCGGAGACGGCGTCGAAGACGAAGAGAAATGGCTGTCTGCTGGAATCACCGGCCTTCAGCAGAACGCTTTCTACATGCATCGCGCTCTGGTAAGCTCTGTTTGTTTCTCAAAAAAAAAAAAAAAAAGTTGATCAATCGAGAGAAAATGTAAATCTAGGGAAATTAAGTTCCGGAATCTTGAATTTATCTTTTGTGGCGTTCCTCCTACGCGTGAACCCTAAGTTTAGATTTGGTAATTTTGAAAATATGTTGTGAATTTCTCAGGACTCGAACAATCTTCGAGACGCTTTGAAATATTCTGCTCAGATGTTGTCTGAGCTTAGGACTTCGAAACTTTCTCCGCAGAAATACTATCAACTTTGTAAGTCTTAACTCTCCGATTCGATGTTGGATCGAGATTTTTTTAATTATTTATTAAAAGTGAAAATGTGATTTATTATTAATGTAATAGATATGCGAGCATTTGATGAGTTGAGGAAGCTGGAGATGTTCTTTAAAGAGGAGACGCGACGCGGTTGCTCAATTATTGATCTGTATGAACTTGTGCAGCATGCTGGCAACATATTGCCTAGACTGTGAGTTAAAGTTCCTGTTAATGATAACAGAAAATATGTCAAAAATGAATCTCATGTGCACAATAGTTATTATGGGCTTTATGTATGCTAGTTAGTTGTTTTGGCAATGCGTGTCTGTTACTGCAGTTTGAAACATTCATTTAAGAAACTTGGATGATGCTAGATTGCTTTTGTTTGTTGGAAGGTCTTCTTTGTATATTGTTTTATGAGTTTTCTGATTTCTGTCAGGTATCTACTCTGTACAGTAGGATCTGTATATATCAAATCAAAGGAAGCACCAGCTAAGGATGTTCTTAAAGATCTTGTTGAAATGTGCCGTGGCATTCAGAATCCTGTTCGTGGGCTCTTCCTGAGGAGTTATCTCTCTCAAGTTAGCAGGGATAAGTTACCTGATATTGGTTCTGAGTATGAAGGGTAAGGGAATTATATGGTTGTTATGTCTTTTATTTTTATCATGTGATATCATATATTTTTCCATAATGCGGAGAATATGGTGTCTTGGCTAATGTTCAAATAATATGGGAGTGACTCAAGTCTGATTCTACTAAAGTTGATGCAGCTGTCGTGGTGCAATTTAATTGAAACACTAATCTGTTATAAGTTATTAGAAGTATTTTGCTTTAATTATTTTAACTGCCTATCTCCTGTTGTTTCAAGATCATTATCATTGTGCTTGTTCATTTTTGATTGATTGATAGAACTATCGAGTACTCAATGTTTTAATTAGTAATGCAGTTGTGTATTGGATAGGAATCTGATTTTTGGATGGATTTATGGATCTCTGCAGGGATGCGGATACTGTCAATGAGGCTGTGGAGTTTGTACTCCAGAACTTCACCGAGATGAACAAACTATGGGTGCGGATGCAACATCAGGTTGGTTGAAAACATCTATGGACTGTTTCCTGCTCTCATGTTTGGCATGCGTGTACCACAGTCCCTTGCATGTCATGGAGGTAAAATTGTATCATGAGGGCATGATTTCTGGTCATGCAGGTGTTATAGTGCTTGTGAATCATTCATACTCTTAGCTGATCCTGTGTTGAGGATTGCTGTCGGGCTTTCTGGTCTGCAGGGACCTGCCCGGGAGAAGGAGAAACGGGAGAAAGAAAGGAGCGAGCTGCGTGATCTTGTAATGCCAATAACCTGTATTTGGTTTATTTCACTGCCGTAATCTTGCGTACCTAATTCTGTGTACACTTATGGAAAGCTTCGCTGTTGCCTCCTTTCTAATTAGGTTGGGAAGAATCTGCATGTCCTCAGTCAGATAGAGGGTGTTGACCTTGATATGTACAAAGATATTGTGCTTCCAAGAGTTCTGGAGCAGGTCTGTTGTATTGTGTTCTCTCATAATAGATTTTACTCTGAAGTTTATGATATGTGACTTTTACTTGCTAACGGCAAACAATGCATTACTTGTCTCACTTATTTTGACAGGTTGTCAATTGTAAAGATGAGATTGCACAGTGCTACCTGATGGATTGCATTATTCAAGTCTTTCCTGATGAGTACCATTTGCAAACTCTTGAAATATTGTTGGGTGCTTTCCCACAGCTTCAGGTATGTTATATGGTAGGCTTTTTGGATTCATGGTTCACAAGTCTTAGGCCTCTCAAAGTAGCTTGTTAAGTATTTATATTTTGTTTTCAGCTCATGACAGATTGGTAATTTGGCCCTTGGTGTGTGCTATTTGAGTTTTACTACCTAATTCAGTTATTCTTTATAAAGACTTGGAAGTTTAGCCTATTAAATTCTGTTTTACTCTCATTTCCTTGTGCATTTGTGCTTCTCAGCCATCTGTTGACATTAAGACAGTGCTATCTCGACTGATGGAAAGGCTTTCAAATTATGCGGCTTCAAGTACAGAAGTGTTACCTGAGTTCTTGCAAGTAGAAGCATTTTCCAAGTTGAACAATGCCATAGGAAAGGTAAATTTGTGTATTAGCCTGGAGGAATAAAGATCAAAATTTAGAAATTTATCAATTCAACTTTAGAGCATCTGCAATGTTTTTACTTTGTTATTATTATTAAATCTTTGAATGCTTAGTCTGACTAATTAGTTCCTCTTAGATTGACAAGTTTATTAAAACTTTAATGGTTGCATATGTGACGAATAATCATAAGTGAAGTTGTTTTTTCCAACTGAAACTTTTTTGTCCTAGCTGCTCCGTTACCTCTTTTCTTTTTTGTATCTCCTTTCTATTTCTCACCTTTCTCCCACCTACTGATTCTTTGTTTTTGTTGATGGTTAGATTAAGTCTTATTCAATAGTCATCGTAGTGGTTTGTATGTTAGTTTTGTACACTTTCATGTATTTTCCGAACAATTGTTTTTTTCTTAAAGAAAACCTTCTTTTCACTTTTATCATAGAATATATTTCAACTTCTCACTTTTTTTTTGTTGGAAATGGAATTTGTAATGCCTAAGTGATGATTCAGGTGATAGAAGCACAGGTTGACATGCCTATCCTCGGAGCTGTAACTTTATATTCATCTCTTCTTACATTTACTCTTCATGTCCACCCTGATCGCCTTGATTATGCGGATCAAGTACTGGTATGTTTCAATTGCATTGAATGTATGCTACATCATAAACCAATTGGCAGAAGTTTACCCTTTGTATGGTGTCTGTCTTTACCTTTTTCCTGCCCATAGTGAGGAAGAAAATGCAAAATATAGACTGGTTTCCAATTTAAAAGTGAAATTTTAATAAACTATAAAGCTAAAATAATAATGTATTGGCTTGTGCAAATTTATATGTGAAGAATAATAACTTGTGCAATTAACTTTATAGTCAAGTAAACATGTCTTAAGGAATTCGTTTTATACCTTATTTATGCTCATCATTTTCAAGTCTCCATGGATTGAGTTACAAACTTGAGGTTGAAAACTTGCTTTCTTAAGTTGTGCTTGGGAGTTAATGGAACATTTAAAGCTATTTTGCAAAGCTTTATATTAACTTGGGCTTGTTATATACAAAAGTAATCATGAAACTTGGTAAATGCTGCTTATGCTGTCAAGTTTCTTAGTTGTGCATACAATGTTTGCTTTATCTAGTGGGAGTTATTTAGCAAGAAATTTCTTAGGGGCACCTTAAGGTTATTATGAATAAAGTTCAGCGTGGAGGTAATAATTTATCTTTCTTGCTTTTCAGGGAGCATGTGTTAAAAAACTTTCTAGCAACGGGAAACTGGATGACAGAAGAGCAACAAAACAGATTGTTGCACTGTTAAGTGCTCCACTGGAGAAATACAACGACATTGTCACTGTGTTGAAGCTCTCCAACTATCCTCATGTGATGGAATACCTTGACAATGAGACTAACAAAGTCATGGCATCTGTTATAATTCAAAGCATTATGAAAAACAATACTCATATTTCAACAGCTGAGAAGGTACGCTTCTATTAATCATGTATCCAGTTATCCTGTTCTTCCAAGCATTCTTCCCTGCATTGCAGGTTCTTTTTTCCCCCCTTTTATTTGCTTATTTTTCTTTGTTTTATAGGTTGAGGCATTGTTTGAATTAATTAAAGGGCTTATTAAGGACTTGGATGGGACTCTTCATGACGAGGTTATTTGGAGTTTACTTTTGTCACATTAGTTCTATTATCTGAGAATTATATAAGCAATTATGCAAAATTTCCTTCTTAATTCTGCTCCAGGAATTGGACCATTCCGCTTGACATTTTTTTTCATTGAAAATTTTCTTATTTGTTTAGGTTGATGAAGATGATTTCAAAGAAGAGCAGAATTCTGTTGCACGTCTTATTCAGATGCTTCATAATGATGATCCAGAAGAGATGTTCAAGGTACAGTTTTGATTTGGTAGAACTATTCCTGGATGTCAACTCTTGTATATGTTAAATAGTGTTATACCATTATGATCTTATATTTCTAGTGCATACATTAGGGTTTCCTGATGCAGATGGATATGCTGCTTCTATCAACATTAGATGACTAATCTTGTTCAGTGTATAAAATGTTTATTCCTTTATCTGATGATTTGGGCCTAAGTTTTCATTTTATGTGTTTAATGTTGTGTTCCATGCTAAGTGAATGTGTTAAAGCCGGGTAGAAAGTGAAATGTTAATTGTGATAGTTCAACATTTTATCTACTGAAAATGCTAATGGATATTTTTCCTACTGGTATGACTGTGGTGTTTATTATTCTAATAAAAATATTAAATCTTCTTGTTTTGGACTTTAAAGAAAATATTGTATGCAATGTCAGATCTGGTAAACTTTTTAGCCATTCCTTAGTATTTCTTTACTATCAGTTGACTAATCAAAGATTGCTAATAGATAAATTTTTTTTTCAAAATTCAGTGTTTTTGGTTTTCAACTTCTTTAATATTTTGCATGTTGTTTTTACCACAACACATTTAAAGTTTGTGTGAGGATTGTTGTATCATGTATTGTTAATTTCCTCTTTTTCTTTATGCTTAGCATTTTGTTTATCTTTGCTACAAGAGTTTGTCTCAATATCGTTTGAAATGCTGCAAATTATTTAATGAATTGCAGGTCATATGTACAGTAAGAAAGTATATTTTGACTGGAGGACCAAAGCGTCTACCATTTACTGTGCCACCCCTTGTTTTTTCTTCACTCAAGGTTTGCTGCTTTGTACTTATCTCATGTAAATGCTAACAAGTTTGAAGTTTTTAAGATTGTTTTTGTAGTTCATATGATATTCAATGTTATTGGCATGTGTAGTGGTCAGTTGTATGCTGTTGCTTCTGCTGGCTATCATGGACAACTTAGAAACTTGAATTAGCTTTCCTTGTTTTTGTAGTTCATATGATATTCATTGTTATTGGCATGTGTATTGTCAGTTGTATGCTGTTGCTTCTGCTGGCTATCATGGACAACTTAGAAACATGAATTAGCTTTCCCTAATAGATGAAATAATGTACAACTAAATAATTTTCAGTGAGTAGGGTCAAATAGATCTTTGATTCATAGCCTGTACTTTTGTGTTGTAAACTTATTGTGATTCCTATTTACAATACGTTGTCTGTTATTTGCAGTTGATTCGGCAGCTTCAAGGCCCAGACCAAGGCTCTGATGAGAATCCATTTGGAGAAGAGGGAGCAACTTCACCGAAAAAGATTTTTCAGCTTTTAAATCAGGTAGCTATCGTTCACTTCCATTATGTGAAAATTACATATATACCTAGTCCCAACTGAAGAAAACCTAAGACTGTTGTTTTAATAACGTAAGAATTATTTCCACAAATGAAGCATACGAGTAATTGATTAGAGGGTGAGGTACACTTGATACCTGTGCAAATATGACACTGTAATATATCTTGATTGGACTTGATGCAAGGCCATTTGTGTAATACCACACCACCTTGGTACTGAGTTCTTATGTACCCTTGGATAAAGGTGAGGTAATCTTCACCAACAGTCTGTAATAGACAGTACTAATTGTTATTTTATCAAAATTTTGCATGTGTATATATATATATATATATATATATATATCAAGTAAGCATATATGAACTGAGGAAAGTATTACAAACAAGTGAAACAAGCTGTCTACAGTATATCTATGCATGTGTGAGTCAAGACAACCCCAAAAACAGAAACGAAATAAAGAAACAGGACAAAAACGTCCCAGAATCTACTAAAACCCTAAAAATAAACTCTTTTAATCACGTCACTGCAGCCTCCCTATTGTTAAGAATAAAGAAAAAGAAAATCATGTGGTATAGAAGCCCAAAAAGGAGCCCAAACTTAGCTTAGTCCCATAAAAATTCATTTTCATCCCCTTTTTTGTTTCCAAAGATTCTTCTCTTTCTTCCTATCCAAATGACCCAGAATATAGCCATAACAGCACAACCCATAAAACTCTTAGCTTTTCAATTACCTGTAAAAGCTTGATTCTTCTGAGAGGATAGAAACACGAGAAAAGAGCAGCCCAACTAAGCTTAGAGGTATAAATAAGATTGAAACTGCCAAGCTAAAGGGCATTGCAGAAACAAGTTGTCTAAACTCTCAACCTCTTTTTTACACATAATACACCAATTAGGAGAGAGACACATCTTGGTCTTCTATTTTGGAGTACATCATTGGTATTAAATTTCTTTTGAGCAGTTGTCCGAGCCAACATCTTTACTTTTGCAAGGAATTTTGCTTTCCAAATCAGACTTGAGGAATCAAAAGTAGGTATGGAAAGATTATAAATTAAAATGTTAAAGTTGGATTTAGTAGAGAAAAACCAGATTTTTCATGTTCCAACATTTCTTATCATTCCTCTAATTATTGAGGGAAACTCTATCAATAAGGCCAAGAAGGTTAGTACATTCTAAAGCTTCTCTATCATTCAAATCTCCTCTTAACTTAGAGATCCCAACACCAATAGGAAGAGACAACTGTTGTTGTTCTAGAAATAGAAGCAATATGCCCATCTGAAAGTTAATAAATCTGAGGAAAAAGATTATAATAAGCATTCTCCCCACCCACCCAAATATTCTCCCAAAACCTAATTCTCTTCCCATTACCCACCAAAAACCTCACATTAGACAAAATTAAATTTCTGATTTGAGACATATAGGGCAGGGGCAGCAACTGGAACCTCTCTAAACTTTCTTTATTCCCAGCCATACAAGTGAAGGCAGTATCTTTTTTTGATAACAGAGTGCCAGAGTGAATATCTACAAGAGGAAATCTCCATAGCCATTTTCCCAGATGAATCCAATTCCTTTTGATCAAATCCCTCATCCCTAATCCCCCTTAGGGGCTGAGAGACTACTATCCAATTAACCAAATGGTCTTATTTGCCTTCCCCCACTCCGTCCAAAGAAAGCTTCTCATGTATCTCTCCAGTCTCTTTGCCACATTGATTGGGATTGTAGAAAGGGAAAGGAAATAAACTTGAAGGCTAGAGATAAGCGATTGGATAAGAGTAAGTCTCCCTTAGATAAGCGACATTTCCTTCAACTATCTGATCTTTTTTCTACTCTTTCAATAACAAGATTCCATAGAGCTAATGTTCTTGGATTGGTTCCTAAAGGTAATCCCAAATAATTCACTGGCCATCTCCCCACCTCACAATCCACTGTGGATGCTAAAGAAGCCAATGTATTCTCTAAAATGGTAATCCCAACCAATCTGCTCTTTTGCAAGTTAATTTTCAGCCTTGATATGTCACAAAACAACTACCCGGCTTTAACTAAATTGAGATATTTAGAATCATCTCCTGAGAGGAAAAAATTGTCATGAGCAAATTGAAGACAAAAAACAGAAACTTTGTTTCTACTAATCTTGAAACCTTTCCATGTGCTTAACCTTCACTGTTCTATCCACAAGTCTGCTTGGAATGCCCCTACTGGAGCGAAACGAAACGGAGACAGTGTGTCTCCTTGTCTTAGTCCTCTTGAAGCCATGATCTTCCCTCTAGGTCTGCATTTAAGAAATAGATAAATTAGTAGACTTTAGGCATCCCTCAGTCCAATTCCTCCATCTAGCCCAAAACTGAGAAAGTTTGGCACAATGGATAGTTTACTTAGATTTGTGGAAACTTGGCATGTGAGTAATATCCTTTTGTTGAAACTTACTAAAATTGGGTACTAAGATTTCTCCTGTAAATGAAAAATGCAATGATCTTAAAAGCAGCTAGGTGAATTACGTTTCAATAGTAGTATTAGAAAAATTATGATGGGATTGTGGTTTGATACTTGTAGAACTTAGATGTATATGATTTCCTGTTGAATTGTCTATGCTGCTACATTGTACAAGTTGGTTCAAAGTTCTCACTTGTCTTCATCTTATATTTGCTTCTGCAGTTGTAATATATGTTTCTCTTTTGTTTTTATTCTTATGGTTTTTGGGGTATATTTATAATACTTGCGGCTTATTGTTTCAGACTATTGAGATTCTGTATGGTGTTCCAGCACCTGAATTGGCATTACGGTTGTACTTGCAGTGTGCAGAGGTACATTACATGAGGTACCGTTTGATCTTTTGTATTTAGAATTCCCTTAGTTTAAGTATGTCACATTTTATTCAGTACTTCTCAATTACTTCTTATTAATCAGGCTGCAAATGACTGTGACTTGGAGCCTGTGGCATATGAATTTTTCACCCAAGCATATATCCTTTATGAAGAAGAAATTTCAGTAAGTTGATTGCCAATTGGAGAAGTGGTCCTTTTTTAATTTATTTTTTTATTTTTTAAAGAAATCGTTTAAATGTGCTGTGAAGCAGAATACTTTCTACTAATTTTCTTTGCCTGAACCTGTTCTGCTATAGGATTCCAGAGCACAGGTGACAGCTATACATTTAATAATAGGGACTCTTCAGAGGATGCATGTCTTTGGTGTAGAGAACAGGGATACTCTAACACACAAGGCTACAGGGGTAATTATTGTCGCATTTAATTTATCTATGGTGTTAGTGAAGTCTATTCCTAATAAATCTTCATCTTTGGGCAGTATTCTGCAAAGCTTTTGAAGAAGCCTGACCAGTGCAGAGCTGTCTATGCATGTTCTCACCTCTTCTGGGTTGATGATCAGGATAACATGAAAGATGGAGAGAGGTCTGTAATTATCCATTTATTATTTATATAATGGATTAAAAATATGTATACTCATGCTCTTGCCTGCCCACTATAATTTGCGTGTCATGTAAGTTGCCCAAAAATATGTATGCATCATGTCCTCTGATGTGTTATTGTACATCATTTTGTGTGGTGGCATATCTCGCTGGTTATCTATTTTTTTCTTGTTTTATTCCAAATGGTTTTTTGGGCCTCGAGGGTGGGTTTTGGTACTGCCAATCTTGTTGAAGGAGATGATAAATAGTTATCATGTTTCCTTTTTTTCCCTCCATGATCTTTGATAACTAGCACTTTCTAACTCTATTTGTTGTTTTCTGAACCAGAGTTCTGCTTTGCCTCAAACGTGCACTAAGAATAGCAAATGCTGCTCAACAGATGTCCAATGCTACACGAGGCAGCACTGGATCAGTCACGCTTTTTGTAGAGATACTGAACAAGTAATAGTTGCCCCCATTTTTTTTTTTACTTTTTTATTTTTTTATTTTTTTTATAGCGGAATTCAAAATTAGTTTAACAAGATAAAATCCTAACTGCATATTATCTGTAGGTATCTCTACTTTTTTGAGAAGGGGAACCCACAGATCAATGTTGCTGCAATTCAGAGCTTGATTGAGTTGATTACAACTGAGATGCAAAGTGACACCAACACCACAGATCCGGCTGCAGATGCTTTCCTTGCAAGCACCATGCGGTACATACAGTTCCAGAAACAGAAAGGTGGTGCCGTGGGTGAAAAATATGAGCCTATCAAGGTGTGACACAGTCGATGACAAGAAATCGCTTCTAGATTTTGCTATCGTGTGAAGGCTGTGATGAGTTTTGATTCAAACTTCTGCAGATAACTTGAGGGAATTAGGTTTTATTTGCTTTGTTCCCGGTTTCTAAAGTTCAGTTCATGAAACCCTGCAAGCAATATTGAAAATCTCTGTTACCATTCTGGTTTCACATATTTTCTGATGTATAATTTTGCTTTTTCGTTTTACGTAGTTCACTTACTCTTAGACCCCAAAAACATTTCCATTTCCTGAAAGCTTAAGGACCGCTCATAAGACTTATGAGTTATTTGACTTAAAACGGTCACATTATATTTTCTTTTTCTTTTGTATATGTTGGCTGAAAACATTTTATGTGGAACATTGCTTATCATTTTGTGCGTTTATTAAAATATATTGCAAATTGGCCATCTTATCGTACTGTATCAAAAGAAATTGGCGAACAAAGAGGAACAAGAAGACACCAATGAACAGATATAAGAAAGCAGCACTCGATAGTTAATCTTTATTAAGAGTATCCTATCGTAAGGGGTGTTTTCCACTTAAGCTGTAGATATTAAACAGCAATACAAACTCATACGATTCAACTCATTTATTCAAATGAACTATATTATTCACATTGTTTATAGTAAAACAAAGCCTGTTTTCAAGAAAACTGGAGGTGAATTACTATTATGAACTCACACAGCACATACTATTAGCATATCGGATAATGAGATCAAGAGCTCTCAAATTAATTCATGGCATATTTCTGAGTCCAACTTCTTGCCACTGTCTCATATTTGTTCTTGTCTGTCTTGTACATGTGGGCAATCTCTGGAACAAGTGGATCATCTGGGTTAGGGTCTGTCAGCAGTGAACATATCGAAAGTAAAACCTGCATTAATCAAATTTTTAATCATCAATAAAATTCATTAATTTTCTTTTCAAATAACATAAGATTATCTACTTCTGAATGTGCATCTAGACACCACCTTTGATATGGTGAGAGCAGGACTCCACTGATCCTTTAGAATATCTAAGCAGATATTACCATTATTGTTAATATTCGGATGAAAAACTTTTGTCTTAAAAGCAACCTGCCAAAATTAATGAAACAATCAATTCAAACATCAAGATCCTCAACCCATATCATATTATCTATCAAATTTTATACCAAAAACAGTTGAATTCATAAGTTACCTTGGGTGGCTTGAAGGGATAATCAGCTGGAAAATGGATGTTAACATGGAAAACTCCACCGGCATAGGGGCTATCGTGAGGGCCAATAATTGTTGCTTGCCAACGGAACATATCATCTGCCACAGGACCTGATTTCACCACAAAATTTTGTTATGTTACAAGAGACTCCTTCAAATTAGTAAAATAATTGTTTTCATTTCTAGTATGCATGTTTACCTGCACTGCATGAGCTTGGAGGGTCTCTTTGGAGGTCCTTGAACTCCTTAAGAATTCTCTTGGACGCCATTAAAATGAAGCAAATTTTCTTCACCAATGAAAAAGCTTGAGAAAAATTGAAAGGAATATAACGTTTTCAGATCTATTGACTGGAGGGTTTTTGAATGGTTTATATAGTGAGAAGAGAATTGTGGAGGTGCCGAGGTGGTCCAATGTTTGGTTCTTTTCAGGAAGACGAAAGAGTGGACAGAAACTAGAGGGTATAAATTCCTGAAAAAAGCAATTTGAACAGAATCCACAATTTTTTTTATTGATTTGAAAGCCAAACAATTAACTCAGGGCACCTCTCATATTCAATTCATCAGGAAATTGGCCACTAATATGGTGGAAATGTTGACGGACTAGGATTAGTCAACTGGAGTTGCCTGTGCCCCTCTCTTTCTGTACATTTTCAATTGATTTATGCATTCATGATGCAATTCTGTTCCCCATCTTTAATGCTTTTTGATATGTTCATGATATGTTTATTTAATTAACGCTTATACTTTTTAAAAGAGAAAACGACTTCTTCCCACCCAAGGTTTTCCTTGACGATATTTTTCCACCCAAAAATTGTCAAAATACCACTTTCCCACCCAAAGTTTATATCCATTAATACCTAAAATACACTTCACTTTTTCAACTAGCGTTAGGTGAGTTTCTAGGAGCCAAGATAAGGGGGGTTTTGTATAGTGGAAGTTGGTGGATTGAATGTTGGTGACAGATTTAATATTCGCCACTAGAATTAGTCGAAAATCAGCTAAGAAAAAAAAACTCTAGTTTTACGGTGGCCGACAATCGATAAGAAATCAAGTGCCGGAGTGAGAGGAAACCGGAGGTTTAAATGGTGGTGACATAGAGAATTTTCGCCATTGGAATCAGTCGGAATCGGCTTTGGGTGATAACAGAATATAAACTTTGGGTGAAAAAGTGGTATTTTAAAACTTTTTGAGTGGAAAAGTGTCATTAAGGCAAACCTTGGGTGAGAAAAAGTTGTTTACAGTTTTTAAAAATATCTACTGAATCACTCTTAAATTCTCTTAAGATCCCACAAAAAGTTTTTGCCATCCTAATTAAACTCTATAAAATTCATACAGAAAACATTTTTAATGTTCCCCAAAGCGCCATGACAGACAGTGCATACAAAGCTTCTTGTTTTAACTTAAATTCAAGTGCCCCCACTAAAATGCTACTTGAACCTTCCAATTTCTTGCTTCAAACCTCTCCTCTTTTGATGTTGTGAAAACAACCCACCATCAGTTTTGATCCACAGAAATCTGATGGATGGAATTAAATTGTAGCCCAAGTTGATCATTAGAACAATTCAGATTTGGTGCTTCCACTGTTAATAGTATTTTGTCTTAAAACAACCTGATCTTCATGGGTAAAACACAAACTGAAATATGACCAAACCAAGAGTGTAATTACATCAGCACAACTGGTTTGATTGGCGTTAGTCTGAGATTTATTGATTATACAATTTACATGACGAACTGCGCCCACAATGCTCACATCAAAATCATATATTCCCTTGGCCAAAAATCAAAGGTCCAATTGGCCAATGCAAAGTAAAAGGTGTCTTTCACAAAGGTTGAGATTCAATGGACGGGACCGCCCACAACATCAACGAATAAAAAAATCTATTGAAGATTATGTGTAAACTGTAAAGTAGAAGATATTCGTGCATACCCAAAATAGTTTTTTAAGATTCCAAGCAAAATACCATGAATTGTATAGCAAAACCTGCAAAAATCCTTTGTTTAAATTACGAGGCCCTGTCAGGAAAAGCAAAAACACAGAACGATGGTTCACCTCGGGACGGCTCTTAGCCATTTTTCTGTCAAGACTCGTAAAATTTATGGTTTATTCCCTTCCTTTTTTCCCATGTCGCAATCAATTTTTAGAACCTATCTACTTCTATGCGAGGGAGAAAAGAATATCGGGAACCAGATAAAGCCCAAGGAATCCATGGATTTTCATAAAAGAAGAAAAAAACTAGCAAGTTGTTAAAGAATCATGAAACATGATACAGAAAACATGGACAAGCCTTTAAAAACAATACAGAGTTAATAAGTACGTTCATGCAAGGTGGTTTTTTTTCTAAGTGGGAAGTTTTGATCCATTAATACATAAAGCATATTGAAACTGGGAGTCAAGAACCATGTAAGGTGTTTTCAACAATTAGAAGTCACAACAATATGAAGAAAGCAACACTACACCACCTGATGCTTCTCACAATCGCCAATTTGAGACAAAATATTTCAAGGCCTCCGGTTTTCTTCAAGAGCAAAAGAAGAAAGAAGAGGGAAAAGATGAGCAAGACGGAGGGTCTTTACACCGATTTGAATCACAAAATAGAGCAGGCCTTTTGTGCTTTGTTCTTCTTTTTCTTTTGCTTGGGTGGTTGAAGGACAACTCTGATGGCCGCATCAAAAACTGCCTTCACATTCTGCAGTAACACATGCAGGTATTTTTCTTTCAGAGGTCTAGATAACATACATACTTAGACATTACACAAATTTCTACACTCATTTTCAGTCAATGGATTCGAAAAAAATGAATGGTGAGGATTAGATAACATACTTAGAATTTAGTCCATTGGAACTATCATGATGTTACAGTTATTTCTTCTCCTTTACAAGGCAAATCATTTTAATTTGTAAGAACATCTAACACTTTTAAAAAAGCAATGTCTCACTTTAATAATTTGAATTTTGAAATAACAGAATATGGGAATGTCTAGCTTATGCGAAGACCAAATATAGTATTTATTGATCATGATACTGTAATTTATTAACATTATTATTCTTTCAATTATCAAGTCAGAGTTAAAGCTTTTGTAAAACATAGAAGCTGTTGATTCGCTAAGTCAGAGAACTTGTAACATGAATTCCAGTAGGACTTGTTTGCTAGCAAAATTCAAAAGAACTCAAAAAGTGTCTACATATCATGGTTAAATATGAGTTTTACAAAATTGTTCTTGCTGTTTTCATTACACATTGAAAGGGTCTATGTTTCTTGTTATTTGATGATGAGAGAGGAGACAGAAAAGAAAAGATCAAAATGAGGAGAGATGATTAATGGAGAATTAACTGTAGCAAAATGTTAGTTTCAGTGCAATAAATTTTATGCTATTCATCTAATGTCATTTAATCGTCACCATTAATTCTTTTTTAGACCAATGACTTTACATGAGTGTAAGAAATTCTACTATACATGAAGCATATAGAAGCTGATATGAACATATTATCACCTGCTGTGTTTTTGAACTGCATTCAATGTAAGCAGGTGCTCCAATAAGCTTCCTCAGTTCCTCCCCCTTTTTTAAAAAAAAAAAAAGTTCAAATAAATAAATAAAAACCTTTGCACAAAAGAAAAAAAAGGGGGAAATTCACCCCCAAAATAAAAAAAAAATGTTTTGAATAAGAAATTTTTACCTGAGCTGTACTGATGGGCACAGCACCTGGATGATCTATAAAGAACTGCTTATCATCCCGAAGATCTGGTTTATTGGACATCACAAAACAATTTGTACTTGATAAATCATTTGAACCATTCACAGTTAAAAAATACATTGACATAATGAGCAGTCAGTTCAAATGATTAAGCTAAAACATATAAAAGAGTAACAAGCCAAGGTCTTCATTTTCTGATTCTCAAACAAAACATATGTCAGCACAAGCAGAAATAACGGATACAATTAAATAAAAACTTGTGACATATTAATAAAAGGAACACAAAACAGTGTAAAACTTCTAAAGCTGCAATTAAAGCTTCCAAATGAGTCATGTGTCACAACTCCATAATTATTATTCAACCTTTTGATCTCAGTGATCACAGAGCTGAAGAAAAATTATAATCATCAATTAAATAAACTCATAATGAATATCAAATCTTAAAATAATCTGTCACATAGAAAACATAGAAAACAAATGCAATAAACAGATCTGCTTTTTCTGTTTCCCTTTTCTTATTCTCCTAATGAAATGAAATAATAGCTATACTTCAAAGAGATTATTTTGCAGTAGATAGTCCATTTACATAAAATCAAGGCCAAATTAAATAACTTGCATAATAAGATTATCTTCTATAGTAACTTCTCTCTCCCTCTCTCACACACAGAGCCACACCCAACCACAAAATAGCATGAAGGATACACAAATTGATCACCGACGTTGGAAGCAATATTTTAGCACAATGCCATAAAAAATTGTCACCCAAAACAATCTACTTAGCTAAGCATCAAGAACTGTGGAAAACATAGTGTGAAATGGTTGAATCACAATGTAAATTGACCATGAAGTCAATCATACAAAATGTCCTCAGGCACTGAACAATCCAACAATAAAGAAAAGATTGAAAAAATGGTCCTTTTTCTAACTAAATATCAATAGCAGACATTCTATTTTCATCATAACATGAAGCCAAAGCAATTTCAAACTAGAGGCCAGCACTGAAAATTAGCAAGGATCTGCATCCACACAAATACACACAAATAGTAGATATGCACAGTACAAAATCCATGTAGACAAGAAACTATCCTGCATATCCTAAGAGGCAATTTAGAATTGTTGAGGTGCAACTAATACCATAACTTCAACCATGTTTAAGCTATTTAAACTAATGACCAGATCAAACATATTGAAAAAATAAGTTTATTCAGATTTGAACAAAATGGTTACACAACTGCAGAAGATCAATGTATAAAAACAAAGCTGATGCTAAGGGAAAAAAATCAAGGTAGTAAGACTGACTTAAATTGGCAAAAACCTTACCAAGCTTTGTTCCAACGAGAATTATTGGCACACCAGGTGCATAATGCTTCAACTCTGGAATCCACTGAAAATGAAGTCAAAAAGGAATTTAATTAAACATACTGAATCACATGTCATCCACAAATGGTGTGAATTACTTAACAAGGAAACGAAGACATTATTTAAACATCATAAAATTCCTCACCTTCTTGGAAACATTCTCATAACTTGCCTTGCTAATGAGAGAGAATGCGAGTATGAAAACATCTGCCCCACGGTAACTCAAAGGTCTCAATCTGTTATAATCTTCCTGCCCTGTTCACAAAGAACAAATTCAGACCCACAAACAGAAATCTACAACAATATTTCCTTAAAGAGGGGGTCAATCCAATGTTACCGGCAGTATCCCATAAACCAAGATTAACAGTGCTCCCATTGACGACCACATTTGCACTGAAATTATCAAAAACAGTTGGCACATAATCCTGGTTCCACACACCAGAAAAATAATTAATATTAAGGAGCCAAATATCTCAAAAATACTCTTTCAAAACAATATTCCAACGGCAGATCACACAATATTCTTACAGTAGTTTTGCATCATCTATCAACAGCCAAATGTATTAATTCATTTTTCAAAATATATAAGCAGCAATAAATTCCATAAGGCAATATTACAGACAATTCTAAACAAAACATCAAAGTAACCAGCTTTAATCCATAATTCCGAATTTATTCCCCAATTCCTTTCCAAATTAACCTAAAACAACGAAACCACAAATTTTCCTCATTTAGGAAAACCCAATTTCAACAATATTTCAAAAAGTTTCCATTTTTTCCGACAAACCCACATGCTCTCGAAAACTAACATCCACAAATTCAACACATTAACTTAAATAAAACATCAAACACACCATAAATGCAAAGACAAAAGAGAAAAACAACATAAAAAAGAATAAAAGTAGAAAAAAATTACCGTAGGGAAGGTGTTGCTGGTGTAAGAAATCAGCAAACAAGTTTTACCCACAGCTCCGTCACCAACCGTGACGCACTTGATAAACCTCGACGCACTCATTTTCCTTGTTCACTTAATTTCTTCTCCAAAGCCCCCTTTTTCTTGTCCCCAAATTTAAAAAAAAAAAGAAAAAAACAAACAACCCTCAGATCCTAACACCTGAGGACAACCGCGATCACAACCGTCTCGTCAATTAACCATCTGTAGAGTAAATTTAAACACGCATAAAAAAAAATCACAACCAAACCCTAGAATTTTCAAGAAAATGCAGAAACGTGAAAAAAAAAAAAAAAAAAACGTATAAACAGTAGATTATGATTACGCCAAAAAAAAAATTAAAATCAAAACCGCCCCCAAAAAGAAAGAATGAAAAATTCCTGAAATGAAGACGTGAAAATCCAAAGGGAAACGAAAGAAAAGAACTTGTTCAGCCGGAAAATTTTCCCGTTGAAGCGTTCGTTGAGCGAACCAACTTCGCCAACAAACCCGTTGTGTTCTTTTACCCGCTTATTTTATCTTGATTTTACGCTCTTTTTTTTTTTTTTTTTTTTTTTCTTTCTGTTTTCGTTTTCAACCGACTTTTCGGAGATTGGGACCGTTTCTCACGGATCCGACCCGCTTTGTTTATTAAAGTAGTTTACGGGATCATTATGGGATGTCTAATTTGCTGCCACGTCTTAATTTTTTTTCTCTTAATAAATTAATCAATTAATTAATCCCTAATTATGGTGTGATTAGATTTGTTAAAACTTAAAGGCCCCAACCAGTAAGGGGTTAAGAATTGTTTCATGATCACGATCAAGTGTATTTCAATTAATGAGATTTTCTCTTTTATTATTAAGTAAACAACTTTTCCCCATCGTAATAATGACTTAACGACATTCTCTTATCCACAGACTTTTAAAATATTATTTTATTATTCAAATTTATATTCTGTTTTCGATTTTGGTATTGTTGTGACCTCATATCACAAGAATTTTCTTTCCCGATCATCATTTACCAAAATCCCTCAAACTCCACTCCTGTCGATTTTGTCGATCTCCGACAATCGAGCGATTAAGGTTTGCGCAACCGTTCCTCTCAAGTAAAATTCTGATCAATCTCAACCACCAAAAGACTCATCGATCTCACCTCTTCAAAAACCCCAACAGTTTGAACCTAGTTTGTTCTCTGTTCGCCATCGAAATATAAATTTGGGTAATAATATAGTAATTTAAAAATCCATGAATGAGAAAATGTTATTAAACTATTATATATTGGGGAAAAAGTCGTTAACTCTTTATTATTAAGATAAATTCATAATTATTTCTCGAGCTAACCTCTATAGATAATTTTTTAGATCAAGGTCAATGATAATTAGGTAATGATCTAATCTGTGATTTAATTGAAGAGACATGTTAGGTGCAACGATTTGAAATATTAATTGAAAGAAATTTGATTAAATTAAAATTAATTAATTAATTAATTTTGAAGTTAATCCGAAAGTAGAGGGAAAGGCCTAATTGAAGTCATGTGCATGTGGTGAAATAAAGAGGCTCCCGCCAATTTCGAGTTTCAGTTTGAAGATGAAGAAGAAAGGGTCAGCTTCCAAATCAAGCAAGTCAAAGCGTGGAGTGAGGCTGTAATGGAAGAAGCAACCTCAACCAAAAGATTGAATTTTTATCACACTTTACTTCCACTATTTCTGACGTTTTCACTGCAATGACCCACAAAATCTTCTTCACATTTTTCATTAACTGCTTTCAATATCGTCACTGATTCTGATTCTGAGAAGAACCCACATTTACACTTGAAGGAAGAATTGATATTTAGTAAAATGTCAGCTGCTCAGATTCTGGTGCCTCTACTGGGACTGTTTGTTTTCTTGGTTTTTTCGGGTATTGCTGATGGAAGGAGTCATAAAAAAGGTGTAACTTACGATGGGAGATCATTGATCATTAATGGGAACAGGGAGCTTCTCTTCTCAGGTTCTGTCCACTATCCCAGGATGCCTCCTGAGGTATTTATCAATGTCCATTATTAAATATATTTTGGTTTGAGCTGCTTGCAGTTTTTGCTTATATATGGGGTTTCTTGATTTGTATTTAGATGTGGTGGGATATTATCAATAAAGCCAAAGATGGAGGATTGAATGTGATTCAGACTTACGTCTTTTGGAGTCTTCATGAACCAGTCCAGGGCCAGGTAACATGCAGTAGTACTATAATTTTCTTTTTCTTTTTTTCATAAGCTTTCTGGGATCTTGTATTGTAAGCCATTGGTTTTTCTTTCTTTCGAATTTGCAGTACAATTTTGAAGGGAATTGTAATCTTACCAAATTCATTAAGACGATTGGTGATAATGGTATGTATGCAACACTTAGGGTCGGGCCATTCATTGAAGCTGAATGGAATTATGGGTATGATTCAAAGTTTTCTAAATTGAACAACGCATTTTGGTAGTGAACTTCCTTTGTAAAACAAATATGTGCTTACTCTTTCTGTTTCAATGTGAACTTGTGCAGTGGACTTCCATTTTGGTTGAGAGATATTCCAAATATTACATTCCGCTCTGATAATCTACCTTTCAAGGTACTTGTCATGTTTAATTTTCGATCCCCAGCTTGCATAGGTTGATATAGCTAAACGGATGGTTCCTTAAAATGGACATTTCTCTTGTGCAGTACCACATGAAAAAGTTCACCAAAAAGATCATACAAATGATGAAGGATGAGAAGCTATTTGCCTCTCAGGGAGGTCCAATCATTTTATCCCAGGTTAAGTACCCTCCTCTTGAGGAAAAAACAGAGTTTTGTGATCATTTTGGACACGTAAGATAATGATATCTTCATTGGTTTTCGCAGATTGAAAATGAATACGCTGAAACTGAAATTACGTACAAAGAATTAGGAACTCGATACGTCCAATGGGCAGGAACAATGGCGGTAGGGCTACATACTGGAGTCCCTTGGATAATGTGCAAGCAAAAGGATGCCCCAGATCCTATAGTAAGTGTAAATGACCCTTTTGGATGAACCATCTTGATTTTAGATGGATTGATTCTCTGTCACTCTGGGTACTCAAGTATGCTAGAAAATTTGCTTGAGAAAATAACAATAACGGTTATGAGCAGATCAATACGTGCAATGGGAGAAACTGTGGAGATACTTTTTCTGGCACCAATAAACCAAACAAGCCTGTTTTATGGACACAGAATTGGACTTCTCAGTAAGTATATTACTTGATAAGCATTGATACATTAACTAATTTTTGCTTCTTGTTCATTCAACTGATTGAAGGAGAGCTGCAGCAAAGAGGCTTATGTTAGAATTCAGTTTCAGTCAAGTGATTGAAGTTTCATGAGTATACTGAGCTTGAAGATACTGATCTTCTGTCAATGGGATTAATTTATAATGCAGGTTTGGAATATATGGGGACCCTCCATCTCACAGGAGAGCTGAAGATATCGCATACTCAATTGCTCGCTTCTTCTCAAAGAATGGTACTCTTGCCAACTATTATATGGTATGAGGCTTTAAGCCCTTCTCAGAAGGCGTTCAACATGTCCATCAAGTCAAAAAGTTTCACCTCTTTGTGTAATTATTCTTGTATTCTTGCTGACAGTATTATGGTGGAACAAATTATGGAAGATCAGGTTCATCTTTTGTAACAGCTCGATACTATGATGAAGCTCCCATTGATGAATATGGTTAGGCATATTGAATCCTTGTCTGCATTAAGTTGTTCATCTTGTTTTTCGTGATTTGGAAATTGGGTTTTCCTTCTTCTTTTGAACAGAAATATGTTATCTTTAAATGCATTTTCAGCTTCTTTTCTCTCAGTGCAAAACAAAACAATAACTAAAACGTCACTCAAATTTTTGTCCTTGTCACCAGGCTTGCTGAGGGAACCTAAATGGGGTCACCTTCGAGACTTGCATTCTGCTTTGAAGAAGTGTGAGAAAGCTTTGCTTTGGGGGACACCCTCTGTTGAGAATTTGGGTGAATATATGGAGGTAAGCTTCGTCGTGAAAAGGAGGATTTATCACAAGGACATTGCTTTTTACAATAATCTGAGCAGTTGTTCTTTGCAGGCTCATATCTATGAAGATATTAAATCTAAAACTTGTGCTGCATTCTTGAGTAACAACAACTCCAGGATACCGGCAATTGTAAATTTCAGAGGCGCCAAATATTACCTGCCCCAACATTCTATTAGCATCCTAGCTGATTGCAAAACTGTCGCCTATAATACTCAAACGGTAACACTATTTTAAGTCCGCAATTTCTATAAGTACTGGGTTGCAAACTTTGTAACTGAATTAGAATTACATTTTGAAGAAACTTTTGTTTGGCATGAGATAGATTGTTGCACAACACAGTTCAAGAAACTACCAGAAATCAGAAATAGGTAACAAGGATCTCAACTGGGAGATGTCCCACGAACATATTCCAACCCTTGATAATTCTTCAATCAAATCAGTTAATCCTTTGGGACATTGGTCGGTGACCAAGGAAACTACAGACTACTTATGGTACACTACAAGGTATGCAACTTATCACTGATATTCAAACATGTTTTCAATGTATATAAAGTCTCATGATTCACAGAATTGAACTGGATCGGGCTGCCTTACCTTTCCGGAAAAATTTACTCCCAGTTATTCAGATTTCAAGTCTTGGCCATTTGTTGCATGCGTTTGTAAATGGAGAATATATAGGTAATGTCTACCAAGTTTCAGAATTGTTGTAGACTTGCAGAACTTATAAGATGAGGATCCCGAAAGTCTTCTTTGGCCTTCTGTATGATAATACAACTCATACGATAAACCCTGTCTAATAGCATTCATGTCTAGACACAAATCCCTTGAATTGTAAAATAGCATCCAAGTTTTCAAAGTAAAATTGACACAAATTTCATCTTAAATAGTACTCAAAGGTTGAATGCAAAATTTGCACAATCTTTAATATCTAGTTGACATGCACTGGTTTACAGGATCTGGACATGGAACAACATAAAGAAGAGCTTTGTCTTTGAGAAACCAATAATCTTGAAGCCTGGAACTAATCATATATCCCTTTTGGGTGCAACAGTTGGTCTTCCAGTAATGATCGTACAACTCTATTGTACTAGTAATGTTGATATTTTAACTTTTCCCTAATGAAACAGTTAAGGAGCAGGTAAATTGATCCTTTTTGTCATCATTAGGATCATGGAATCTACTTGGAGCGAAGGTATGCTGGAGTTCTTACTGTAGCAATAGAAGGTCTTAACATTGGAACTATTGATGTTTCGGACAATGGATGGGGTAATAAGGTATATAATCAGCTGTTATTCATCATCCTTCATTTCACACAAAACTGCACTTTAGAGGAGCTGATGAATAAGGGGTTAAACTGCTGCAGATAGGTTTGGATGGTGAAAAACTTGAGGTTTTCACACAGAGTGGTTCACACAGGGTAAATTGGACTAAACCTACGGGAAAAGGAGGACCCCTTACATGGTATAAGGTACTTCCATAAGCAAACTTCTCTCTATCTGCTCAATATGTGAAAAAACTTCCCCCATCTTCTGAAACACTTATACTCATTATCCAGGCTTATTTCGATTGCCCGGAAGGAAATGAACCTCTTGCAATTAACCTAGCAACCATGTCTAAAGGCATGGTGTGGATCAATGGTAAAAGCATCGGTCGTTACTGGGTATCTTACCTTACTCCTTTAGGAAAGCCTTCCCAGGAAGTGTAAGTGTTGCATTATTTTTTTATTTTTTTATTTTTTCACTTATTTGAGTTTTGTTCACCAAGAGACAAGTTCTCACAATTTTTATGAATATCAGATACCATATCCCCAGAGCTTTCTTGAACCCAACTGACAATCTTCTGGTAATCTTCGAGGAAATCGAAGGATATATAGATGGTGTTCAAATCCTAACTGTCAACAGGAACACAATCTGTAGCTATATCANCACAACACAGTTCAAGAAACTACCAGAAATCGGAAATAGGTAACAAGGATCTCAACTGGGAGATGTCCCACGAACATATTCCAACCCTTGATAATTCTTCAATCAAATCAGTTAATCCTTTGGAACATTGGTCGGTGACCAAGGAAACTACAGACTACTTATGGTACACTACAAGGTATGCAACTTATCACTAATATTCAAACATGTTTTCGGTTTATTCTCATGTTTTCAATGTATATAAAGTCTCATGATTCACAGAATTGAACTGGATCGAGCTGCCTTACCTTTCCGGAAAAATTTACTCCCAGTTATTCAGATTTCAAGTCTTGGCCATTTGTTGCATGCGTTTGTAAATGGAGAATATATAGGTAATGTCTACCAAGTTTCAGAATTGTTGTAGACTTGAAGAACTTATAAGATGAGGATCCCGAAAGTCTTCTTTGGCCTTCTGTATGATAATACAACTCATACGATAAACCCTGTCTAATAGCATTCATGTCTAGACACAAATCCCTTGAATTGTAAAATAGCATCCAAGTTTTCAAAGTAAAATTGACACAAATTTCATCTTAAATAGTACTCAAAGGTTGAATGCAAAATTTGCACAATCTTTAATATCTAGTTGACATGCACTGGTTTACAGGATCTGGACATGGAACAACATAAAGAAGAGCTTTGTCTTTGAGAAACCAATAATCTTGAAGCCTGGAACTAATCATATATCCCTTTTGGGTGCAACAGTTGGTCTTCCAGTAATGATCGTACAACTCTATTGTACTAGTAATGTTGATATTTTAACTTTTCCCTAATGAAACAGTTAAGGAGCAGGTAAATTGATCCTTTTTGTCATCATTAGGATCATGGAATCTACTTGGAGCGAAGGTATGCTGGAGTTCTTACTGTAGCAATAGAAGGTCTTAACATTGGAACTATTGATGTTTCGGACAATGGATGGGGTAATAAGGTATATAATCAGCTGTTATTCATCATCCTTCATTTCACACAAAACTGCACTTTAGAGGAGCTGATGAATAAGGGGTTAAACTGCTGCAGATAGGTTTGGATGGTGAAAAACTTGAGGTTTTCACACAGAGTGGTTCACACAGGGTAAATTGGACTAAACCTACGGGAAAAGGAGGACCCCTTACATGGTATAAGGTACTTCCATAAGCAAACTTCTCTCTATCTGCTCAATATGTGAAAAAACTTCCCCCATCTTCTGAAACACTTATACTCATTATCCAGGCTTATTTCGATTGCCCGGAAGGAAATGAACCTCTTGCAATTAACCTAGCAACCATGTCTAAAGGCATGGTGTGGATCAATGGTAAGAGCATCGGTCGTTACTGGGTATCTTACCTTACTCCTTTAGGAAATCCTTCCCAGGAAGTGTAAGTGTTGCATTATTTTTTTATTTTTTTATTTTTTCACTTATTTGAGTTTTGTTCACCAAGAGACAAGTTCTCACAATTTTTATGAATATCAGATACCATATCCCCAGAGCTTTCTTGAACCCAACTGACAATCTTCTGGTAATCTTCGAGGAAATCGAAGGATATATAGATGGTGTTCAAATCCTAACTGTCAACAGGAACACAATCTGTAGCTATATCACTGAAAACTATTTAGACAATGTGCACACTGCAGCGGATGATGCCAAAAGATCAGCTACCTTGAGCTGCCCCGACAGCAAACGTATTCTCAATGTTGAATTCGCAAGCTATGGTAACCCATTTGGCACTTGCGGAAATTACTTTCTTGGAAACTGCAGTTCACCAGTTAGCAAGAAATTTGTTGAAAAGGTTTCCTTGGCTCACTCTCTGATATGTGCACATATACATTGTTTTGCATTATACTGCAGCTTTTGTGCTGTGCTAATTGGTTTTTGTTGTGATTGAGCAGCAATGCTTGGGAAAAAGCAGGTGTGATGTACCGTTTGACAAGAAAATTTTCGACAGGGATGGAGATCTTTGTCCGAATATTCCCAAATATCTTGCCATCCAAGCTGTATGTGGTGAGAAGAAATAGTGTCCAGTGACAGAGTACAAGTTTTGGACAGGACAGCAGAAGTGATGAGATCTTCTTGTGAAGGCTTTCTGCAACCGTCCTGTGGACTTGAGCTGCCTTTAATCAAGTTGAATTGAATGATCAAAATCAAGTATAAGGGCTATCCATATTCATCAATAGTCATTTTTGTTTCCCTTCTAGAGTGATGTATTAAGAGAATTGTTACTATTTTGCTGATTTACACTGTAGTAGTGTGTTTCCTCTGAAAGGATATGAACATGGAGAGGTCCTTTTTCTCGCAATTCATCTTCGCATTGCTGGTAGATCCAGGCATTGGGTTCAGAAAATCTCTAGTCTCTGTATTTGGAGCAAACAGTTAAGACGTAAAGTTCCGAACATGTTCCAAGATCGGTTCCTTTTTTTTATTATTATTTATTTTTATGCTTTGCTTCTGTTTTAACATGTGAATTTCATCAATTTTCTGATTCAAAAAGTTCATAGAGAAACCCTTGTAGAGTTTTTCCAGCCTCAGCACCAAATACTGATATATGGTTGAGTTAATCAGTTAATATGAAATGAGTTACTGGGAAACACTGTAGATTAACCACCATTGAATGGTCAAATGATAAAATAGCAAAGAAGTCTAACATGAGTCCTGAGTTCGAGTCCCTTTACACACTAATAAGAGTGGTCATTGAAAAAATTTATTCGATCATTCACTTCAAAGCCTCAAGAGATTTATTGAGATATGTGTAAACTGACTCAAACACCCCCCGGTCACCGAAAAAAAAAAAAAAAAGTGTAGATTATCTATAGACAATGGAAGTGTGAGCTTTCACAGAACTGTGTCAAACTTGATACAAGCGGTATTTATCTATTGAGAAACTTTTGAATAACAAATTAATTATTTGATTAATCCCATTTGAAACCAGGAAAATAAGAAAGGAAAAATAAAAACATTTGTTTAATCTCTTTTATTTCATTCATAGCCAAAGAGACTGGATTGTTTCAGCAGTACTGATCCTTTATAAGCAAAGTTTCAGCAACTACATTGGAGAGGAGTTTAGCAGGTAGCCCTTCTCCAACTACGAATTTATCGACAGATCTCACAATGACATGTTCATACACACCATCAAAATGTAGGGAAAAAACATCACTAATACTAAAACCATGGTACAAATTGTCTAAACAGCAAAACAAAATGGGCACAAGAACAACGAGAAGACATGTTTATCCAACGTGTCTTAGTAATTGAATTAGGATGAAAAGGTAAGAAGACATCCAAGTACAGGAAAGAATAGTGGCATGACCATTAAGATGCATAATACATAGATCTTGTTCTTGTTGTGGGAGTAACTGGGACCACAAACTCGCATGGTTTGCAAATCATGACTTGCAAAATGCATGGAGTGTATCATCCAGGGCCTTTCTATCGTAATCACCTGTAAAGACACAGTTGCCTAGAGGACCTTTCAGAAGGATAAGCCTTAGTAGCCCATCAGCTACCTTCTTATCAACCTGAAATATCAAAAGGATACAAGAATGTTAAGGATCAGAGGGGGGGAAAAAGTGAGCTTCAATGAGTAATGAAAACTGAAATCTCTTACCGCCATGATGGACTTGAATGTTTCTACAGTCATGGTTTCTGCAGGTGCAGTAGGTAGCTTAGCCTGTTTCAAAATGTTAAGCACTCGTTTCACAATTGAATCATCAATCCAGCCAAGCCGGTAAGACATGTCAACTGCCATGACCTAAAAAAAAAATAGACAACCAAGTTCAGCATATAGCAGGTAAGCCACATAATGGACGAAACACAAATATATATGATGCTATACCGTGCCAGCTGCAACAGCTTCTCCATGAAGCCACTCTCCATACCCAAGTCCATTCTCAATGGCCTGAGAAGAAGTTGATCAGTCAGGAAGTTTTGCAAGAATATCAGATAGCAGAGAGCATTCTCAAAAAACCATTCTTATAACTTGATAAAGTAGTTAAAAGAAAAAGAGGAGTTCATTATACTTAGTACTATTATGTATATGAGTTACACTACATGCTAGCCTAAACAAAATGCCAACAAGAAACAACAGGCTGATTGAGCAAGCTGAAAAATTAAATACTTTAATGCAAAAACAAAACTTACATGACCAAATGTATGGCCTAGGTTTAATGTTGCCCGTACCCCACCTTCTTTCTCATCCAAGGAAACAACTTCTGCCTTATTTTCACATGATCTCTTTATAGCATAAGCCAATGCGCTTGGATCCCTGCAATGACCCAGTCCCAAATATAAAACATGCATGCATAACTAAAACAATAGTAATTGCAAGATGTTCAAAATATAACAATGCTAAATCAATTGTCATTAGAAAGAGAAAAAGGAAATGACAACAGGGAGGGAAGGAGACATGCAAGATTTTATTCCCTGAGGTTTGAAATAAGATTCAATATTTTAAATTCAATGCAGATATGTGTCCGCTGATGCATAAAACAAGATGTTTCATCATATGAACCGTTGACTTAACAGAAAGACATCCTTGTTCTTTGGGTAAAAGAACTTATTTTGAATTTGGCATTGATAATTTATACCTTGCCATCAATTTGTCAATATTCTTCTCCTGCCACTCAAAAAATTCAGCATCCCTAATAAGTCCGTACTTTATAACCTCTGCAAAACCTGATGCCAGTTCCCTTTCTGGCAATGTGTTTAATGTGTCGGTATCTATAAGGACACATTGAGGTTGGTAGAAAGCACCAATCAAGTTCTTCCCAAGGTGGTGGTTTATGCCAGTTTTTCCTCCAACAGAAGAATCCACCTATAAGGTATATTCAATCAACAAATATAAAATATTAGAACAAAAGAGTTGAAGGTAAGCGAGAGACATGGAACAAATAAACATATTTGAAGAGAAAATCAAATTAAAATGAACCATGAGTGGCAAAAGACCTGTGCCATAACAGTAGTAGGAATTTGAATAAAATTAACACCACGAAGATAAGAGGCAGCAGCGTAACCACACATGTCACCAATCACACCGCCACCAAGGGCAACAAATGTACATCGCCGATCCAATCGTGATTCAATGGCTTTGTCAAAGACTTTCATGAGAGTGTCCTATAGAAGAAAAAGAGTTAAAATTGAAACTTAAATTATACCTTAACAACAAGATGTTAATTAAAACTTTTTAAAAACTTACCATGTCCTTGTACTTCTCACCATCTGGTAAAATCACACTCTCAACTGAAACATTTGGGTTCCCTCTTGTCAAAGCATCAGTAACTTTATCCAGGTAAATTGGCCCAACTGTGTTGTTAGTCACAATGAGAACTCTCTTCCCATGAACATGCCTATCAAATAACATTTTTTCTTATAAACATGAGAACAACAGAAAACCTTTAATATTCATCCTCGCAAACAAACAGAATCATTTATTATTATAGTGTATTTGATAGTGTTTTAACTCAAAAGAACTTTTTACAAAATCCTCCCAAACGCATCCTTAGTTTCATGTGTTAGGAATCTAGCTCAAAGTCAGGGACGGAGCCACATTGGGTTCAGTGGGGGCTCCAACGTAACTCTTTTTTTTCTTGTTACTTTGTCTCTCTTCTTACAGTAACTAAAGTTGTCCCCAATGTACATGTTTTGATTTGTATATTTGCCTATTCATTTTCCTTCTCACTCATTAATTTGCATCTTACTCTCTAAGTTTCGCCAGTACTAATTATAGAATATTATCGACATTTAATTACAGCCCAGGTTAAATACATATTTAATATTCAAAATTACAAACGTCAGCATGTAATGCTCAAGATTATAAAGCAGAAGTGATACTAGAAGAATATTATCCAGTATTTTTACAAGAACCTATTCAAATACCATACAACCATGCAGAACTTTTTATCTTTAGATTTTATTGTTATGTAACTTATACCTTACTGAATATGAGATTTACATTATGAAAATGAGTTAGCATTCAGTATTCAAGATTGAAAAGATAATTATCATTATAAAGAATACATAACTTAGCAATTACAGTTTAATATATTAAATGGATATACTATGGGAAAGTTCTATATTTTATAAGATTAATAAAATTTCTGACTCCTTCACTGCTCAAAATGATTATCTTGCCTTGCCTACTCTTATCAGCAATTAAATAAAAAAATTTCAGAAATTGAACAAACTACACAAAGAAATGTCAACATGCAATACCTTTGGAGCAGGTCGGGCTGATCAAGAAGACTGGATCCAATATAAATCGGGTAGCTCCGGTCACCCAAATCCACGTTAACAATTGTAGGAACTTTAGAACTCGCTTCACTAACCGATTGATCCATCACCGGAGCTGCACTCGCACATATCTTGGACGCCACTCGACTCGCACTCAACACGGCAGACGCGCTTCGATTCAACTCAGTAGAACTCGGCGAGACGAACGAAGAAGACCGAAGAGAGACGGAGTTGGGGCTCTGAAACCGGACCAAAGAGTCGGAGGATTTGGACGTCAGTTTAGTTGAAAGAGAAGGAGAGAATGAATTGGCGGTGGATAGTGCCATGGGCTCGGATCCAGATTCCGATACGAGATTTCGGTCCGAAGGATTATGAATTTGGTGTGTGGATTTAAATGGAACATGGTGTAAGGGAATTAGTTTATTAGTTGAAAAAGACAGGATGAGAAGAGAAGATGTGCGGGGTAGGTGAGGGAGAGCGCGATTGGTGAAGGACGTTAATTGACGGACCTACTTGTCCCGTTAACTCATTTGTTTAAATAATTAATTTTCTCCTGCGAAATTTAGGTGAGATGATATATTCCATCGCACGTGTTTCAAAATGTATTTAACGGTAATTTTATTGCTGGGCATGTTTCTGGGATACTGTTCGGTTGTCAGCCACTGTTAAAAAACGGTTTTGACAAATGAATCCCACCAACTTCCTCTAATCAATTCTATGTGACACTAAATTAATATTATTACGTTAATTTACGACTTTGATTAGAGATAAAGATCATTCCTTAGAGATAAACGATCATTTATCATATAAAGAATGACCATTTATCGTATAAGGAATAACTTTTCTATGAGAAAGGATTGTCATTCCATCATAGAATGTCCTCTAAGAGGAATGATCGTTCTTCATCCAAATAACAATCCTTCCAAGGAGGAACGACCATTCCCCTATTCATAACGATCGTTTCTTATGAAAGAATGATCGTTTCTTAATTTTAGTCGAAATTATTTTACGACAATTCTGGTCAAAGCTGTTAACTCAAGTGTCACGTGACGTTTGTGAAAAAAAATTTATGAGATGCATTTGTCAGTTTATCTTTATTCTAATTAATTTCTTAACTTTATTTATGCTAATTAATTTCTTAACTTTATTTAATATTTATATAAATGATTATATAAATAAAAATGTTTTTAGAAAAATAAATATATAATGCAAATTACTCTTGTGATGCTATGAAATTCCAGCAACCAAACAGGCCACAAAGTCTACGGATGTCAATTTATTAATATATTTAATTTACACCTTTAGTTGAATTGGCACGTTGAGAATTGCGAATTGGTATCTTTCTTAACGTGAAAGCTGTAACGGTTTCGCCGTTAAAGAACATGTGGCAAGGGACAAATCTGAGATATAATAAAATAAAACAAAACTATAAAAAAATAAGACAAGACAAGATCCTCTGGTTGATAGTTGGGTGTATTGAAAGTTTGATAGTAACTGAATGCTATTAGCTTATTGTTCAAATCATTATGCATTACCGAAAGGTCAAGTGAGAGTGAATCTGGAGTGTTTTTTTTTTTTTTTTTTTTTTGGGATGATCGTTATGTTCGAGTCAGTTTACGTATGCTTTAATTAATCATTCGAAACCCTAAAATTAACGATTGGATAAATCTTTCAATGGTCACTCTTATCAACAACTGAAGAGAATAAAATTTAAAACCTCTGGAGTAATGCATTCAAGAGTTTCTATCGTTTCACCCGAGCACCCCCTGGTTAGTGAAGAGGAGTTCGGGCTGACAAGTTTAACAGACAACCCATTTATAAGTAGAAAAAATATGTAAAATCTTATAATAACAAAAATGATAAATTGGGTATTGAATTCATGCATAACTTAATTAAGACTACTACAAACGACACAATACAAAAACAAGAGTAATAAATATCAATGACTTTTTCTAATCAGAGAAAAAACAGCACCAATATGTTCAACTTCTTTTGTATCTGCGGCTACGATTTCAGTGAACCTTTGAAATAAACGATGCATAATTTCAGACCCAAAATGGCTATGAATCACCGATTCATTAAATGCTCTTATCATTTTTGCCATAATTTCAGCTGTTTTTGTCCTGTCATACTTGTTTCCACCATTGACACCATCCCATGGTATTGCAGTAATTTTCAGATGATCAAGGATGAAGGATCCTTCCTTCTTTATCTCTGCTTTTACGTCTTCTGTGTATGGCTCATAGTATGGCATATTGTACGTATCAAACTTTTTCTCTTCGATCAGCCCCTATATTATAACACTACATGAATTAGTTATAGTATCCAATACCGTAAAACAAAATTGTGTAACAGAGTTTTATATATACCTCAGCAACTAAATCCTGGAATGCCTCTCCCAAGTAATCCCAAAGAAGACAGCTTTCATCTGGGGTTGGATCATCTGTTCTCCTGGCTTTCAATGAAAAAACCATGCGGCCTCCAGAGACTACTTCTTGTGAGCGAGACTTGAGAAATGAAGAAAAATCCCTCTCAAACTGGTACTTATAAGCGTCTATAACACTAGGTGGACTTGTTTTTGAAATGAATATCTTCCCTTTGTTTATCAATGGATTTACTTTGTCACACAATTCCGGAGGTACCTATAACCATTTCCAGGATTAATTGAATGAAAGAATACCCGAAAGACCTGAAGAGTGTTTAATGATGAATTGATTAATTACCTGGGAAAGCCAATGGAGGCTAGAAGAACAGTGCACAAAATGCAGGCTTTGTGTTGGAAAAATCCGCCCATAGAAAGACCCAGGAACACCGCAAATATATATAGGCCCATGCTGTTCCTGCATCTTTTTGTTGAAATCTGGCAAACACTTGAACACTCTGTTGAAATCAATTGCATGAAGATCATTCAAATACACAAGAAATTCAGGGGTTGCTCGACCAAGCTCTCGGCATCTTTCGGAAATCGCACTTGTGATTTCAGTAATTGCAAATAAAGTAGTGTCTGGCCCAGAGGAACATCCAATGTCTGCTATGGTCACAATCTCTGGTAAAAGGAGGGTGCCTAAATCCTGTAGCGCTTGCCGAAGAAGAGACATTGAAACAAAATGAGCAAAGATAAGATTACAGAAAAAATTAGCCTAGAAACAGTACAGGATCAACCTTAAAAGTTCTCCTTTCCACGCATTAGAGGCTTATTACATAAATCCAGGGAAAATAATTGTGGGATCCAATGTGGTTTTGAATAAATGGACTGAATCAAAGACCATTGTTAGTTCTTGGCTGCATGCATGCTTCACAAAATTTGCTGCTTACAGCCTAATTAGACTCCCAAAGTGCGATTTCTTTTTCCCGGAAACTTTATCTAATTTAGAGTAAACTGTAAAGTGATAAGGACAATTAACGGTAGAGGTAAACTGATATGAGGCAGATGCAATATTTAATTAACATGTTCATTAATTGAATGAGTTTTTATCAGAAATCGGCCACCAGCTCGACGGCATGAGTGATAATTAAGCCGCCTACACAGTAACCAAAACAGTCTTAAGCTTAGATCGGAAAACTTTATCCCATTACCTTGGAGTTTGTTTTTGCTCCAAAAATGCTAGGATTTATTGGGGATCACGAACTTCGGCGCAGCAGGGCACATGCATGCCAATGAGTAAAACGGAGCCCCATTTTTCAAAATAGACCAGCAGGCCATGTCGCCTCCATTGAACTTTGGGAATTTTCGATTAATCAATAGCCTTGCGCAAATATGAATTACAGATGATTCATAAATCAGTGTTTGTCCATCAAATTAAAAGAGGCACATATATACTGCTTGTGCTTTGTTCTTTCATTCTATATTAACAACGCCAAGAAAAACTCAAAACTTAAACCAATACGTTATATGAAAAGTTTAATATGAGTACCATATAGAGCTGTTTGATTAAATATTGCTTCCTGTAATTTCCATGGTCATATCTCTGTAAATCGGGTGGCTCGTCTTCATAAAACAATTTAGGAATTGGATCAAGCTTCACTTCATAATTTTGGAGAATAGGATGTGACGAGTTTGTCACCACCCTATGCTGCACACTTCTAGAGCTATCCCGCAGCAACTCACCGCTGCAGTCCTCCAGGTAAATCATAGACAAATGTATTACTTTTGCATCTAACGGAGAATCGAACCTGAGACTATGGATTTAATATTGCATTACCATGTGTTCATGATCCAACATTGCATTGCATATGGGTAAATGATAGGGGTAAGCACAAGTAGCTAGTGGAACCAGTACCTGCAGGTAGAACCGAAACCTAAACCAGAACCGACACTGTGTGGGTAGGTTCCGGTTCCATTTTATTGCAATCGACACTGTGCAGTTCCGGTTCCTACAGGTTTTGGAATTAGAACCAAAACCTAGGAAAAGAACTTGAAGCGGGTACCCGGCTTGGAACCCTCTTGGAACCTATTTGTGTTTTGGTTTTGATTGAGAAATTTTATGTGAATTATTATGAATTGATTGAATTCAACTATTGCCTAAAGATTAGAGGATTTATGAGTCACATTGGACACAAATGAATGAATAATCAAAAGTTGAAAACTACTAAATGTAGGTTTTCTTAATTTGTTAGGAGTGTATTTGTAAACTTTTAAGGTATTTTTGTCATTTTTTAAACTAATAGGGGGTAATTAACTTTTTACAGGATACCCATGTAAGGAACCGAAACTTACATTTCAGGTTTGAGTTCCTTGAATTTAAGAACTAGAACCGATAGGTTCTAGTTCTTTTTTTTGGGAACCTGTATTGTGCGGTTCTGGTTCTCTCAAAAAATACAGGGTACCCAAAATTGCTCACCCCTAGTAAATGCAACTTTCATTAAAAGTTGTAGCTTGATTATTGATAGTTTGGAAAATTAAATATGTAGGAACAAAACTTTTTAGCATCAAAATTAGGTAGATTTCTATTTGGGTTTAAAGTAGGAGTGGTCCAAAAAATAGAATGTATTATATAGTTAAATGTAGATAAATTGAACCATTTCTTATATCAATTATTCAATAAACAAAATTATTGGTTTTCTTTTTTCCTTTAATACTCAACAGATTTTAGAAATAAAAAAAAAAAAGTATTTGTATACACTAATTTGTGTAAATAATATGTGAACAATCAACAATCTCTAACTAGCTTGACAATTTGCTTGAGACTCTTGGGTGCATTACTTAAGAGGTCCTGAGTTCGAATCTCCACGATTATTAATAAGGGGTAGTCACTGGAGGCTTATCTGACCCGTAATTTCAAGACCAAGGGATTAGTTGAAGTACGCACAAGTGGACACCTAGGATACCAAAATATATTTATATATGGGGGCAATTTTAAAAGAAAAAGGTATCCCATACTCAAGGGAAAACACCATGAGACCATTTAAACATGAACTAAATCACGAACCAACTTCAAATAACCAAATGAAACCCAATCAAATAGTCTTCAATTTATGTCTTTTAATAACAGGATTTGCTTTGGCAATTGCTTGACGACCCAAAGCCTTATAATCATAGCAGCATTCGTGGTCTTCCGAAAGACGATGAAATATACAGAAAACTCCACCACACTTGCACTTATATTTCATCGGTCCAACTTTCTTCCTGCAAACTGGACATCTCACCACTCTGGCCTGCTCAACCTCACCACTTCTTGAGCACTCTTTACTTTCTGAACCGAGCGTCAATGGTGGAGGGACTGTAGAAGAACTGTCCATAGTATCCAACTCATCACCCCGGTCATTTCTTCGAGTGATATCTAGTAGTTCAGAGAACGAAAGTGGCGAATCCTCAAATTGCCTGGCACGTTCTTTTCTTCTGATCATAGATATCCATTCCTCCAGGGTAATTGTTGACATCTGTGCTCTGACCCAATTTTCACCTGGATTTGTTTCGTTTGAGTATGCAGCCTCCGCCCTTTCTGCCGCTGTAACGGCAGCTTGTTCCTCCGCAAGAAGAAGCTTGAAACAATTGTTACAGTAATTCGAGTTTTCAGCAGGGACCAAGGAGCCACAGCCATTAGCACATGGGTTCCGGCTGGTTCTATCGTTTTCTTGAGAACTCATGGTTGTGTGTGATTCTGTAAGAGAAAAAATAGAAAGAAGAAGAGTTTGTGAATTGTTGAATGCCGAAGTTCTTCTCTACTGGGGAATTTATCATCTGCTAAAAGGAAAAAAGCAAGGCCACAATTATTTGTGCAGCTACAATAATCTCACCGGTCAGACAAATCAGTTTCACAATTATGGGTTTAACTCTGCTATATTCACTTTTTAAAGATTTCGGATGTGTCTCCTTCTATTCTTAGACCTGACATGAGCCACAGGTCCCACAGGGTCACCAATTGTGACTTAATTTCTTTTGATGCTTTCTTTTTCTCAGCCAGCCTAGTATAATTTCATTAATTAGCTTGTTAATTATTCATTACCAAATGGTCATTTGAGTGGAGATAATTTTTTATTTTATTTTATTTTATTTTATGACAAGGTGTCTAGGCTATATTACGTGTACCTTAACTAATCCCCAGGGATCTTGGAACTATTTATTGGGTAATAACTCTAGTGGCAACTCTTATTAGCAACTAAGAAGAGACTCGAACTCAGGACCTCTTAAGTAATACACCCAAGAGTCTCTAACGAACCACCACTCGGTCACCCAGAGGTAGTTGGGATAAATTTTTGTTGTTAAGCCTTACTGATGACTATATCTTTTTTTTTTTAATCGGAGTGTCCGGACCAGCTTGCACGTACCTCAACTAATCTTCGGGGTCCATTGAATATCCTACAAACTTAATAGATCAGATAAGACACAAATGTGGTATGTGACTACTTTGTGAGACTCGAACAAAAATGATGATATGGGATTAGCTACATGATGTTGATTAAAATCAACTTGATTTCGTGCATTACTTAAAGAGTAATGCTACAATTACCAAAAAAGTATACCGAATTTATGTACCGAACAGATATGGCACCATCCGCTTAATTTAAAAACGAAATTCATAATTAATCAACGGTCATAATGGTGCCACATCTATTGGTGTATGATTCAGTATCCCTTTTTCGGTGACTGTATCATTTTCCTTACTTAAATTGATGTCAAGATTAGCGTTTTTAATATTATGGTGGGAGAGCGACATTTTCCCACCCAAGATTTGGCGAAACAACACTTTCCCACCCTTGAAGTTTCAAAATGACACTTTCCCATCCTTCGTTAGGTTCTATTATACTTTCCATTAATATTTTACTAAAAATACGAAAACACCCTTAAATATTTGACTTTATAATTTTTTAATTAGCCAAAAAGTCAAATATTAAAAAATTAAAAAAGAAAAAATAGTTAACCCCACCTAAAAAGTTAGGAGTAATGCTATCGAATTATTTAAAGTTAAATGACTTTAATATTTATTTATTTATAATATTAATATCTCATCACTATTATTCAATAATTTATGAAATTTATAATATATTCCATAATATAATGTTTTTCATTTTCACTAATTAATATAGAAAATCAATATTTCTAATTAATTAAACAAACAAAGGAAAAAATATATCTTTATACTTGAACTAATAAATAATCAAGTAAAAATTTTGATTTAATTAAATTTTAATTTATAATAAACTATTTAAGATATTTTCGTCTTTTTAATCAAATATTAATAAAAAAACACTAACATAACTTGATGAAAGGTGGAAAAGTGTCATCTTAAATCTTGACGGGTGGGAAAGTGTTGTTTCGCCAAATCTTGTGTGAGAAAATGTCGTTCTCCGTATTATGGTTCCAAAGCAGCTTTTTCCATTTCTCTTGGTCTTTAGTTGTGCTAATTTGGGATTCAAAAGATATGCTGAAGTTGCATTAACAAAGACGAAAATTTATGCAGTTAATATTACAATATTGCTTCTGATATGCTTTAAGGAAAACAAATTTTCATGCCAATGAATGTGTAAACGGGGCCTCATTTTTCGAAATACACCACCAGCTGGGCAGGCATGTCCATGAGTGGGGGCATGAACTTGGAAAATATTTTTTTATCCTCATATTTTGTATTTTAACAATTAGTACCCTCTCTGTTTTGTTTTGTCAAAGTAGTCTTAATAAATCCCAACATTGTCGCCATTATTGTTTTTATTTATTTTTTTCTAACATCTAAAATAGGTTTTAAATACTCTAATTAAAGCAGCATTAATATACATATTTTGATTGATTATAAGAATATAATTTATGATAATCTCTTAATTGCCATATATTTATGATCCAACATTGCACACGAGTAATCATAAATGAAAACCTTTTTATTAAAGTTTGATAAAATAAATCTGTAGGAATATAAATTTTAGCTTCAAAATTAGGCAGATTTCTAGCTATTTGAGTTTAAAGGAGTGGTCCAAAAAATACAATGTATGGTTAAATATAGATTAAATGGACCATTTATTAATATAATTATATTAATTATTTCAATAAACATAATTATTGGTTTTCTTTTTTCCTTTTAATACTCAATAGATTTACAAAGAGATATAATATTTGTATACACTAATTTGTTCAAGTAATTTGTGGACTATATTAAAAGAAAAAAGAAAGAATCAAATCGATAATAGCATTAATTCCTATTACAATATTAGCAAGAAATTTACTTACGGAATATATACATAATATTATTAATAAGGTGATTCTCTCATTAAATGTCTAAAATAAAGTTTTATTTTCTTTATCATAATATAAACAAAATGATCTATGGTTATTTATCATTATCTATCCCAATAGTAAAGAAAAAAAAACTTATCCAGGTAAATTGGCCCAACTGTGTTGTTAGTCACAATGAGAACTCTCTTCCCATGAACATGCCTATCAAATACATTTTTTCTATAAACATGAGAACAACAGAAAACCTTTAATATTCATCCTCACAAACAAACAGAAATATTATTATATGGTATTTGATAGTGTTTTAACTCAAAAGAACTTTTTACAAAATCCTCCCAAACGCATCCTTAGTTTCATGTGTGTTAGAATCTAGCTCAAAGTCAGGGACGGAGCCACGTTGGGTTCAGTGGGGGCTCCAACGTAACTCTTTTTTTCTTGTTACTTTGTCTCTCTTCTTACAGTAACTAAAGTTGCCAATGTACAAGTTTTGATTTGTATATTTGCCTATTCATTTCCTTCTCACTCATTAATTTGCACTTACTCTCTAAGTTTCGCCAGTACTAATTATAGAATATATCAGACATTTAATTACAGCCCAGGTATACATATTTAATATTCAAAATTACAAACGTCAGCATGTAATGCTCAAGATTATAAGCAGAAGTGATACTAGAAGAATATTATCCAGTATTTTACAAGAACCTATTCAAATACCATAAACCCTGCAGAACTTTTATCTTTAGATTTTATTGTTATGTAACTTATACCTTACTGAATATGAGATTTACATTATGAAAATGAGTTAGCATTCAGTATCAAGATTGAAAAGAAATATCATTATAAAGAATACATAACTTAGCAATTACATTTTAATATATTAAATGGATATACTATGGGAAATTTCTAATTTTATAAGATTAAAAAATCTCTGACTCCTTCATGCTCAAAATGATTATCTTGCCTTGCCTACTCATCAGAATAATAAAAAAATTTCAGAAATTGAACAAACTACACAAAGAAATGTCAACATGCAATACCTTTGGAGCAGGTCGGGCTGATCAAGAAGACTGGATCCAATATAATCGGGTAGCTCCGGTCACCCAAATCCACGTAACAATTGTAGGAACTTTAGAACTCGCTTCACTAACCGATTGATCCATCACCGGAGCTGACCTGCACATCTTGGACGCCACTCGACTCGCTCAACAGGCAGACGCGCTTCGATTCAACTCAGTAGACTCGGCGAGACGAACGAAGAAGACCGAAGAGAGACGGAGTTGGGGCTCTGAAACGACCAAGAGGTCGGAGGATTTGGACGTCAGTGTTAGTTGAAAGAGAAGGAGAGAATGAATGGCGGTGGATAGTGCCATGGGCTCGGATCCAGATTCCGATACGAGATTTCGGTCCGAAGGATTATGAGTGGTGTGTGGATTTAAATGGAACATGGTGTAAGGGAGTTTGTTTATTGGTTGAACAAGACAGGATGAGAAGAGGAGATGTGCGGGGTAGGTGAGGGAGAGCGCGATTGGTGAAGGACGTTAATTGACGGACTACTGTCCCGTTAACTCAATTTTAAATAATTATTTTCTCCGCGAAATTTAGGTGAGATGATATATTCCATCGCACGTGTTTCAAAATGTATTTAACGGTAATTTTGGGTGCCTTTAGCTCCTATTTCTAGTCCTATTTTCAATATTCTCTAAATATTATTTGACACATTATTTCAAAAATATACTATTTTTTAAAATTATTTTTAGACTCTTTAAGTTTATTAATTTTATTAAGTCATCGCTTGACACGGCAAATCTTGGCCATCGTGACCGAAAATGACGATCATATCTTTGATCATCACTGACGGCCAAATATAGACTTCTTTAGCCTTTTCTGGCCGTTGACGGCCACATCTAGCCGTAAATCTGGCTAGAAAAGGCCATAGCGACGCGTTACGACACAGATTCGACCAGTCTGTGTCGTAACGTAATTTTCAACCAGATTCTGATGGTGGTGGTCGGAATCTGGACTGCGGGTGATGGGGGTTTTTGTCATTTATATGTTGGGATGTTTAATTAAATTAGCAAACCTAGGGGTTTTTATAATTTATAAATTTTACCTCGTAATATTCCCGATTCAACTACCCAATATTATTCCCAAAATCCTATCTAAAATAATAACCAAACAAACCTTTATTGCTGGCATGTTTTTGGACACTGTTCTGTGTCAAACGTTTTAGAAAGAGATTCTCAAAATGAATATCACAAACTTTTTCTCATAAATCTATATGACATTAAACAATATTATCACGTTAATTCACAATTTTGACTAGAGATGATAATCATTCATTGAGGATGACCGATCATTCATGTATAAGGAACAACCTTTCCATGAGAAAAGATTGTCATTCCATCATAGAATGTCCTCAAAAGGAACGGTCGTTCCAAGGAGAAACGATCATTCCTCCATTCATAACGGGTATTCCTAAAGGAATGAGTTTCTATTCTAATCGAAAAATTCTAATGGGGGCTACTAACTCAGGTGTCAAGTGAAGTTTGTGAGAAAAAGTTTATAAAATACGTTTGTCAATTTATCTTTATTCTAATTAATTTCTGAACTTATTTAATATTTATATAAATGATTATATAATAAAAATGTTTTTAGAAAAATAAAGACACAATGCAAAATTACTTTGTGATGCTATGCAATTCCAGCAAACCAACAGGCCGCAAAGCTACGGATGTCAATTTATTATATATTTAATTTATACCTTTAGTTGAATTGGCACGTTGAGAATTGCGAATTGGTATCTTTTTAACGTGAGAGTTGTAACGGTTTCGCCGTTAAAGAACATGTGGCAAAGAACAAATCTGATATATATAAAATAAAACAAAACTATAAAAAATAAGACAAGACAGATCCTCTGGTTGATAGTTGGTGTACTGAAAGTTTGATAGTAACTGAATGCTATTAGCTTATTGTTCAAATCATTATGCATTACCGAAAGGTCAAGTGAGAGTGAATTGGAATTTTTTTTTTTTTTTTTTGTGATCAGGGTGTTGGGTCAGTTTGCGTACACTTTAACTAATAATTCAAGACCCTAAAGTTAACCACTGGATAAATCTTTCAATGATCACTCCTATCAATAATCGAGAAGAATAAACTCAAAATATCTGGAATAATACACTCAAGAGTCTTATTGTTTCACATGATCACCATGGTGGTTAGTGAAGAGGAGTTCGGATGCTAAGCTTAACAGACAACCCATTATAGGTAGAAAAAATATGTAAAATCTTATAATAACAAAAATGAAATTGGGTATTGAATTATGCATAACTTAATTAAGACTACTACAAAGACACAATACAAAAACAAGAGTAATAAATATCAATGACTTTTTCTAATCAGAGAAAAAACAGCACCAATATGTTCAACTTCTTTTGTATCTGCTGCTACGATTTCAGTGAACCTTTGAAAAACGATGCCTAATTTCAGACCCAAAATGGTATGAATCACCGATTCATAAATGCTCTTATCATTTTGCCATAATTTCAGCTGTTTGTCCTGTCATACTTGTTTCACACATTGACACCATCCCATGGTATTGCAGTAATTTCAGATGATCAAGGATGAAGGATCCTTCCTTCTTATCTCTGCTTTTACGTCTTCTGTGTATGGCTCATAGTATGGCATATTGTACGTATCAAACTTTTTCTCTTCGATCAGCCCCTATTACAACATTCAGAATTAGTATAGTATCCAATACCGTAAAACAAAATTGTGAACAGAGTTTTATATATACCTCAGCAACTAAATCCTGGAATGCCTCTCCCAAGTAATCCAAAGAAGACAGCTTTCATCTGGGGTTGGATCATCTGTTCTCTGGCTTTCAATGAAAAAACCATGCGGCCTCCAGAGACACTTCTTTGAGCGAGACTTGAGAAATGAAGAAAAATCCCTCTCAAACTGATAATATAAGCGTCTATGACACTAGGTGGACGTTTTTGAAATGAATATCTTCCCTTTGTTTATCAATGGATTTACTTTGTCAACAATTCGGAGGTACCTGTAACCATTTCCAGGATTAATTGAATGAAAGAATACCCGAAAGACCTGAAGAGTGTTTAATGATGAATGATATACCTGGGAAAGCCAATGGAGGCTAGAAGAACAGTGCACAAAATGCAGGCTTTGTGTTGGAAAAATCCGCCCATAGAAAGACCCAGGAACACCGCAAATATAATAGGCCCATGCTGTTCCGCATCTCTTGTTGAAATCTGGCAAACACTTGAACACTCTGTTGAAATCAATTGCATGAAGATCATTCAAATACACAAGAAATTCAGGGGTTGCTGACCAAGCTCTCGGCATCTTCGGAAATCGCACTTGTGATTCAGTAATTGCAAATAAAGTAGTGTGGCCCAGAGGAACATCCAATGTCGCTATGGTCACAATCTCTGGTAAAAGGAGGGTGCCTAAATCCGTAGCGCTTGCCGAAGAAGAGACATTGAAACAAAATGAGCAAAGATAAGATACAGAAAAATTAGCCTAGAAACAGTACAGGATCAGCCTTAAAAGTTCTCCTTTCCACGCATAGAGGTTTATTACATAAATCAGGGACAATAATGTGTGGATCCAATGTGGTTTTGAATAAATGGACTGAATCAAAGACCATTGTTGTTCTTGGCTGCATGATGCTTCACAAAATTTGCTGCTTACAGCCTAATTAGACTCCCAAAGTGCGATTTCTTTTCCCAGAAACTTGGTCTAATTTAGAGTAAACCGTAAAGTGATAAGGACAATTAATGGTAGAGGTAAACTGATATGAGGCAGATGCATATTTAATTAACATGTTTCATTAATTGAATGAGTTTTTATCAGAAATCGGCCACCAGCTCGACGGCATGAGTGATTATTAGCCGCCTAAACAGTAACCAAAACAGTCTTAAGCTTAGATCGAAACTTTATCCATTACCTTGGAGTTTGTTTTTGCTCCAAAAATGCTAGGATTTATTGGGGATCACGAACTCGGCGCAGCAGGGCACATGCATGCCAATGAGTAAACGGAGCCCCATTTTTCAAAATAGACCAGCAGGCCATGTCGCCTCCATTGAACTTTGGGAATTTTCGATTAATAATAGCCTTGCGCAATAGAATTACAGATGATTCATAAATCAGTGTTTGTCCATCAAATAAAAGAGGCACATATATACTGCTTGTGCTGTTCTTTCATTCTATATAACAACGCCAGAAAAACTCAAACTTAAACCAATACGTTATATGAAAAGGTTAATATGAGTACCATATAAAGCTGTTTGATTAAATATGCTTCCTGTAATTTCCTGGTTATATCTCTGTGAATTCGGTGGCTCGTCTTCATTCAACAATTTAGGAATTGGATCAAGCTTCTTTACTTCATTCAACGAGTGTTGTCACCACCTATGCGCCACACTTGGGGAGCTATCCACACAACAACCACTCAAACCCGCCGCAGCCATAAGTAATCATGAGCAAATGTATTACTTTTGCATCTAGGAGAGAATCCCCTAAAGTAAATCATGAGCAAATGGATTACTTCTGCGTCTAGGAGAGAATGAACATGGGATTATGGATTGAATATTGCATTGCCGTGTGTTTTGATCCGACAATGCATTGCACATGGGTAAAGCAACTTTATATAAAGTTGTAGGGTGATTATTGGTAATAGGAAAAATAAATATGTAGGAATAAAAAAATTTAGCATCAAAATTAAGTAGATTTCTATTTGGGTTTAAAGTAGGAGTGGTCCAAAAAATAGAATGTATTATATAGTTAAATGTAGATAAATTGGACCATTTCTTATATCAATTATTCAATAAACACAATTATTGGTTTCTTTTTGCCTTTAATACTCAATAGATTTTAGAAAGAAAAAAAAAAGTATTGTATATACTAATTTATGTAAATAATATGTGGACAATCAACATCATTAGATAGTTTGGCGATGCGCTGAGACTCTTGAGTGCATTACTTAAGAGGTCATGAGTTCGAATCTTTACGATTATTAATAAGAGATAGTCATGGGGCTTATCTGACCTTTAATTTCAAGACCAAGGAATTAGTTGAGGTACGCACAAGCGGATACCTAGATACCAAAATATATTTATATATGGGGGCAATTTTAAAAGAAAAAGGTATCCATACTCAAGGGAAACAGTCAAAACACCATGAGACCATTTAAACATGAACTAAACACTAACCAAATGAAACCAATCAAATTGTCTTCAATTATGTCTTTTATAACAGGATTTGCTTTTGCAATTGCTTGACGACCCAAAGCCTTATAATCACAGCAGCATTCGTGGTCTTCCGAAAGACGATGAAATATACAGAAAACTCCACCACACTGACTTATATTTCATCGGTCCAACTTTCTTCCTGCAAACTGGACATCTCACCACTCTGGCCGCTCAACCTCACCACTTCTTGAGCACTCTACTTTCTGAACCGAGCGTCAATGGTGGAGGGACTGTAGAAGAACTCTCCATAGTATCCAACTCATCACCCCGGTCATCATTTCTTCGAGTGATACTAGTAGTTCAGAGAACGAAAGTGGCGAACTCTCAAATTGCCTGGCACGTTCTTTTCTTCTGATCATAGATATCCATTGCTCCAGGGTAATTGTTGACATCTGTGCTGACCCAATTTTCACTGATTGTTTTCGTTTGAGTATGCAGCCTCGCCCTCTCTGCCGCTGTAACGGCAGCTTGTTCCTCCGCAAGAAGAAGCTTGAAACAATTGTTACAGTAATTCGAGTTTTCAGCAGGGACCAAGGAGCCAAGCCATTAGCACATATGTTCGGCTGGTTCCATCGTTCTTGAGAACTCATGGTTGTGTGTGATTCTGTAAGAGAAAAAATAGAAAGAAGAAGAGTTTGTGAATTGTTGAATGCCGAAGTTCTTCTCTACTGGGGAATTTATCATCTGCAAAAGGAAAAAGCAAGGCCACAATATTTGTGCAGCTACAATAATTACCGGTCAGACAACAGTTCACAATTATGGGTTTAACTCCGTATTCACTTTTTAAAGATTTCGGATGTGTCTCCTCTGTTCTGTATAGACAATGGAAGTGTGAGCTTTCACAGAACTGTGTCAAACTTGATACAAGCGGTATTTATCTATTGAGAAACTTTTGAATAACAAATTAATTATTTGATTAATCCCATTTGAAACCAGGAAAATAAGAAAGGAAAAATAAAAACATTTGTTTAATCTCTTTTATTTCATTCATAGCCAAAGAGACTGGATTGTTTCAGCAGTACTGATCCTTTATAAGCAAAGTTTCAGCAACTACATTGGAGAGGAGTTTAGCAGGTAGCCCTTCTCCAACTACGAATTTATCGACAGATCTCACAATGACATGTTCATACACACCATCAAAATGTAGGGAAAAAACATCACTAATACTAAAACCATGGTACAAATTGTCTAAACAGCAAAACAAAATGGGCACAAGAACAACGAGAAGACATGTTTATCCAACGTGTCTTAGTAATTGAATTAGGATGAAAAGGTAAGAAGACATCCAAGTACAGGAAAGAATAGTGGCATGACCATTAAGATGCATAATACATAGATCTTGTTCTTGTTGTGGGAGTAACTGGGACCACAAACTCGCATGGTTTGCAAATCATGACTTGCAAAATGCATGGAGTGTATCATCCAGGGCCTTTCTATCGTAATCACCTGTAAAGACACAGTTGCCTAGAGGACCTTTCAGAAGGATAAGCCTTAGTAGCCCATCAGCTACCTTCTTATCAACCTGAAATATCAAAAGGATACAAGAATGTTAAGGATCAGAGGGGGGGAAAAAGTGAGCTTCAATGAGTAATGAAAACTGAAATCTCTTACCGCCATGATGGACTTGAATGTTTCTACAGTCATGGTTTCTGCAGGTGCAGTAGGTAGCTTAGCCTGTTTCAAAATGTTAAGCACTCGTTTCACAATTGAATCATCAATCCAGCCAAGCCGGTAAGACATGTCAACTGCCATGACCTAAAAAAAAAATAGACAACCAAGTTCAGCATATAGCAGGTAAGCCACATAATGGACGAAACACAAATATATATGATGCTATACCGTGCCAGCTGCAACAGCTTCTCCATGAAGCCACTCTCCATACCCAAGTCCATTCTCAATGGCCTGAGAAGAAGTTGATCAGTCAGGAAGTTTTGCAAGAATATCAGATAGCAGAGAGCATTCTCAAAAAACCATTCTTATAACTTGATAAAGTAGTTAAAAGAAAAAGAGGAGTTCATTATACTTAGTACTATTATGTATATGAGTTACACTACATGCTAGCCTAAACAAAATGCCAACAAGAAACAACAGGCTGATTGAGCAAGCTGAAAAATTAAATACTTTAATGCAAAAACAAAACTTACATGACCAAATGTATGGCCTAGGTTTAATGTTGCCCGTACCCCACCTTCTTTCTCATCCAAGGAAACAACTTCTGCCTTATTTTCACATGATCTCTTTATAGCATAAGCCAATGCGCTTGGATCCCTGCAATGACCCAGTCCCAAATATAAAACATGCATGCATAACTAAAACAATAGTAATTGCAAGATGTTCAAAATATAACAATGCTAAATCAATTGTCATTAGAAAGAGAAAAAGGAAATGACAACAGGGAGGGAAGGAGACATGCAAGATTTTATTCCCTGAGGTTTGAAATAAGATTCAATATTTTAAATTCAATGCAGATATGTGTCCGCTGATGCATAAAACAAGATGTTTCATCATATGAACCGTTGACTTAACAGAAAGACATCCTTGTTCTTTGGGTAAAAGAACTTATTTTGAATTTGGCATTGATAATTTATACCTTGCCATCAATTTGTCAATATTCTTCTCCTGCCACTCAAAAAATTCAGCATCCCTAATAAGTCCGTACTTTATAACCTCTGCAAAACCTGATGCCAGTTCCCTTTCTGGCAATGTGTTTAATGTGTCGGTATCTATAAGGACACATTGAGGTTGGTAGAAAGCACCAATCAAGTTCTTCCCAAGGTGGTGGTTTATGCCAGTTTTTCCTCCAACAGAAGAATCCACCTATAAGGTATATTCAATCAACAAATATAAAATATTAGAACAAAAGAGTTGAAGGTAAGCGAGAGACATGGAACAAATAAACATATTTGAAGAGAAAATCAAATTAAAATGAACCATGAGTGGCAAAAGACCTGTGCCATAACAGTAGTAGGAATTTGAATAAAATTAACACCACGAAGATAAGAGGCAGCAGCGTAACCACACATGTCACCAATCACACCGCCACCAAGGGCAACAAATGTACATCGCCGATCCAATCGTGATTCAATGGCTTTGTCAAAGACTTTCATGAGAGTGTCCTATAGAAGAAAAAGAGTTAAAATTGAAACTTAAATTATACCTTAACAACAAGATGTTAATTAAAACTTTTTAAAAACTTACCATGTCCTTGTACTTCTCACCATCTGGTAAAATCACACTCTCAACTGAAACATTTGGGTTCCCTCTTGTCAAAGCATCAGTAACTTTATCCAGGTAAATTGGCCCAACTGTGTTGTTAGTCACAATGAGAACTCTCTTCCCATGAACATGCCTATCAAATAACATTTTTTCTTATAAACATGAGAACAACAGAAAACCTTTAATATTCATCCTCGCAAACAAACAGAATCATTTATTATTATAGTGTATTTGATAGTGTTTTAACTCAAAAGAACTTTTTACAAAATCCTCCCAAACGCATCCTTAGTTTCATGTGTTAGGAATCTAGCTCAAAGTCAGGGACGGAGCCACATTGGGTTCAGTGGGGGCTCCAACGTAACTCTTTTTTTTCTTGTTACTTTGTCTCTCTTCTTACAGTAACTAAAGTTGTCCCCAATGTACATGTTTTGATTTGTATATTTGCCTATTCATTTTCCTTCTCACTCATTAATTTGCATCTTACTCTCTAAGTTTCGCCAGTACTAATTATAGAATATTATCGACATTTAATTACAGCCCAGGTTAAATACATATTTAATATTCAAAATTACAAACGTCAGCATGTAATGCTCAAGATTATAAAGCAGAAGTGATACTAGAAGAATATTATCCAGTATTTTTACAAGAACCTATTCAAATACCATACAACCATGCAGAACTTTTTATCTTTAGATTTTATTGTTATGTAACTTATACCTTACTGAATATGAGATTTACATTATGAAAATGAGTTAGCATTCAGTATTCAAGATTGAAAAGATAATTATCATTATAAAGAATACATAACTTAGCAATTACAGTTTAATATATTAAATGGATATACTATGGGAAAGTTCTATATTTTATAAGATTAATAAAATTTCTGACTCCTTCACTGCTCAAAATGATTATCTTGCCTTGCCTACTCTTATCAGCAATTAAATAAAAAAATTTCAGAAATTGAACAAACTACACAAAGAAATGTCAACATGCAATACCTTTGGAGCAGGTCGGGCTGATCAAGAAGACTGGATCCAATATAAATCGGGTAGCTCCGGTCACCCAAATCCACGTTAACAATTGTAGGAACTTTAGAACTCGCTTCACTAACCGATTGATCCATCACCGGAGCTGCACTCGCACATATCTTGGGCGCCACTCGACTCGCACTCAACACGGCAGACGCGCTTCGATTCAACTCAATAGAACTCGGCGAGACGAACGAAGAAGACCGAAGAGAGACGGACTGAAACCGGACCAAAGAGTCGGAGGATTTGGAGGTGAGTTTAGTTGAAAGAGAAGGAGAGAATGAATTGGCGGTGGATAGTGCCATGGGCTCGGATCCGGATTCCGATACGAGATTTCGGTCCGAAGGATTATGAATTTGGTGTGTGGATTTAAATGGAACATGGTGTAAGGGAATTAGTTTATTAGTTGAACAAGACAGGATGAGAAGAGAAGATGTGCGGGGTAGGTGAGGGAGAGCGCGATTGGTGAAGGACGTTAATTGACGGACCTACTTGTCCCGTTAACTCATTTGTTTAAATAATTTATTTTCTCCTGCGAAATTTAGGTGAGATGATATATTCCATCGCACGTGTTTCAAAATGTATTTAACGGTAATTTTGGGTGCCTTTAGCTCCCTATTTCTAGTCATATTTTCAATCATATTCTCTAAATATTATTTGACACATTATTTCAAAAATATTACTATTTTTTAAAATTATTTTTAGACCTCTTTAAGTTTATTAATTTTATTAAGTCATCGCTTGACACGGCCAAATCTTGGCCATCGTTGACCGAAAATGACGATCATATCTTTGATCATCACTGACGGCCAAATATAGACTTCTTTAGCCTTTTCTGGCCGTTGACGGCCACATCTAGCCGTAAATCTGGCTAGAAAAGGCCATAGCGACGCGTTACGACACAGATTCGACCAGTCTGTGTCGTAACGTAATTTTTCAACCAGATTCTGATGGTGGTGGTCGGAATCTGGCACTGCGGGTGATGGGGTGTTTTTGTCATTTTATATGTTGGGATGTTTAATTAAATTAGCAAACCTAGGGGTTTTTTATAAATTTATAAATTTTACCTCGTAATATTCCCCGATTCAACTACCCAATATTATTCCCAAAATCCTATCTAAAATAATAAACCAAACATACCCTTTATTGCTGGGCATGTTTTTTGGACACTGTTCTGTTGTCAACCGTTTTTAGAAAGAGATTCTCACAAATGAATATCACAAACTTTTTCTCATAAATCCTATATGACATTAAATCAATATTATCACGTTAATTCACAATTTTGACTAGAGATGATAATCATTCATTGAGGATGACCGATCATTCATTGTATAAGGAACAACCTTTCCATGAGAAAAGATTGTCATTCCATCATAGAATGTCCTCCAAAAGGAACGGTCGTTCCAAGGAGAAACGATCATTCCTCCATTCATAACGGTTATTTCCTATAAAGGAATGATCGTTTCTTATTCTAATCGAAATCATTCTAATGGGGGCTACTAACTCAGGTGTCAAGTGAAGTTTGTGAGAAAAAGTTTATAAAATACGTTTGTCAATTTATCTTTATTCTAATTAATTTCTGAACTTATTTTAATATTTATATAAATGATTATATAAATAAAAATGTTTTTAGAAAAATAAAGACACAATGCAAATTACTCTTGTGATGCTATGCAATTCCAGCAACCAAACAGGCCGCAAAGCCTACGGATGTCAATTTATTAATATATTTAATTTATACCTTTAGTTGAATTGGCACGTTGAGAATTGCGAATTGGTATCTTTCTTAACGTGAGAGTTGTAACGGTTTCGCCGTTAAAGAACATGTGGCAAAGAACAAATCTGATATATAATAAAATAAAACAAAACTATAAAAAAATAAGACAAGACAAGATCCTCTGGTTGATAGTTTGGTGTACTGAAAGTTTGATAGTAACTGAATGCTATTAGCTTATTGTTCAAATCATTATGCATTACCGAAAGGTCAAGTGAGAGTGAATTGGAATTTTTTTTTTTTTTTTTTGTGATCAGGGTGTTCGGGTCAGTTTGCGTACACTTTAACTAATAATTCAAGACCCTAAAGTTAACCACTGGATAAATCTTTCAATGATCACTCCTATCAATAATCGAGAAGAATAAAACTCAAAATATCTGGAATAATACACTCAAGAGTCTTTATTGTTTCACATGATCACCCTATGGTGGTTAGTGAAGAGGAGTTCGGACTGCTAAGCTTAACAGACAACCCATTTATAAGTAGAAAAAATATGTAAAATCTTATAATAACAAAAATGATAAATTGGGTATTGAATTCATGCATAACTTAATTAAGACTACTACAAACGACACAATACAAAAACAAGAGTAATAAATATCAATGACTTTTTCTAATCAGAGAAAAAACAGCACCAATATGTTCAACTTCTTTTGTATCTGCGGCTACGATTTCAGTGAACCTTTGAAATAAACGATCCATAATTTCAGACCCAAAATGGCTCTGAATCACCGATTCATTAAATGCTCTTATCATCTTTCCCATAATTTCAGCTGTTTTTGTCCTGTCATACTTGTTTCCACCATTGGCACCATCCCATGGTATTGCAGTAATCTTCAGATGATCAAGGATGAAGGATCCTTCCTTCTTTATCTCTGCTTTTACGTCTTCTGTGTATGGTTCATAGTATGGCGTATTGTACGTATCAAACTTTTTCTCTTCGATCAGCCCCTATATTATAACACTACATGAATTAGTAATAGTATCCAATACTGTAAAACAAAATTGTGTAACAGAGTTTTATATATACCTCAGCAACTAAATCCTGGAATGCCTCTCCCAAGTAATCCCAAAGAAGACAGCTTTCATCTGGGGTTGGATCATCTGTTCTCCTGGCTTTCAATGAAAAAACCATGCGGCCTCCAGAGACTACTTCTTTTGAGCGAGACTTGAGAAATGAAGAAAAATCCCTCTCAAACTGATACTTATAAGCGTCTATGACACTAGGTGGACTTGTTTTTGAAATGAATATCTTCCCTTTGTTTATCAATGGATTTACTTTGTCACACAATTCCGGAGGTACCTGTAACCATTTCCAGGATTAATTGAATGAAAGAATACCCGAAAGACCTGAAGAGTGTTTAATGATGAATTGATTAATTACCTGGGAAAGCCAATGGAGGCTAGAAGAACAGTGCACAAAATGCAGGCTTTGTGTTGGAAAAATCCGCCCATAGAAAGACCCAGGAACACCGCAAATATATATAGGCCCATGCTGTTCCTGCATCTTCTTGTTGAAATCTGGCAAACACTTGAACACTCTGTTGAAATCAATTGCATGAAGATCATTCAAATACACAAGAAATTCAGGGGTTGCTCGACCAAGCTCTCGGCATCTTTCGGAAATCGCACTTGTGATTTCAGTAATTGCAAATAAAGTAGTGTCTGGCCCAGAGGAACATCCAATGTCTGCTATGGTCACAATCTCTGGTAAAAGGAGGGTGCCTAAATCCTGTAGCGCTTGCCGAAGAAGAGACATTGAAACAAAATGAGCAAAGATAAGATTACAGAAAAAATTAGCCTAGAAACAGTACAGGATCAACCTTAAAAGTTCTCCTTTCCACGCATTAGAGGCTTATTACATAAATCCAGGGAAAATAATTGTGGGATCCAATGTGGTTTTGAATAAATGGACTGAATCAAAGACCATTGTTAGTTCTTGGCTGCATGCATGCTTCACAAAATTTGCTGCTTACAGCCTAATTAGACTCCCAAAGTGCGATTTCTTTTTCCCGGAAACTTTATCTAATTTAGAGTAAACTGTAAAGTGATAAGGACAATTAACGGTAGAGGTAAACTGATATGAGGCAGATGCAATATTTAATTAACATGTTCATTAATTGAATGAGTTTTTATCAGAAATCGGCCACCAGCTCGACGGCATGAGTGATAATTAAGCCGCCTACACAGTAACCAAAACAGTCTTAAGCTTAGATCGGAAAACTTTATCCCATTACCTTGGAGTTTGTTTTTGCTCCAAAAATGCTAGGATTTATTGGGGATCACGAACTTCGGCGCAGCAGGGCACATGCATGCCAATGAGTAAAACGGAGCCCCATTTTTCAAAATAGACCAGCAGGCCATGTCGCCTCCATTGAACTTTGGGAATTTTCGATTAATCAATAGCCTTGCGCAAATATGAATTACAGATGATTCATAAATCAGTGTTTGTCCATCAAATTAAAAGAGGCACATATATACTGCTTGTGCTTTGTTCTTTCATTCTATATTAACAACGCCAAGAAAAACTCAAAACTTAAACCAATACGTTATATGAAAAGTTTAATATGAGTACCATATAAAGCTGTTTGATTAAATATTGCTTCCTGTAATTTCCATGGTTATATCTCTGTGAATTCGGTGGCTCGTCTTCATTCAACAATTTAGGAATTGGATCAAGCTTCTTTACTTCATTCAACGAGTTTGTCACCACCCTATGCGCACACTTGGGGAGCTATCCCACAACAACCCACATCAACCCATCGCCGCAGCCCCTAAAGTAAATCATGAGCAAATGTATTACTTTTGCATCTAGGAGAGAATCCCCTAAAGTAAATCATGAGCAAATGTATTACTTCTGCGTCTAGGAGAGAATCGAACATGGGATTATGGATTGAATATTGCATTGCCGTGTGTTTATGATCCGACAATGCATTGCACATGGGTAAATGCAACTTTTATATAAAGTTGTAGGTTGATTATTGGTAATTAGGAAAAATAAATATGTAGGAATAAAAAAATTTAGCATCAAAATTAAGTAGATTTCTATTTGGGTTTAAAGTAGGAGTGGTCCAAAAAATAGAATGTATTATATAGTTAAATGTAGATAAATTGAACCATTTCTTATATCAATTATTCAATAAACA